ATTCACATGACATTCGCTCAGTATCCCATCAGAAAAAATTACCCCATTTATTCTCTGACTTATTAAAGAAAGAAGGCAACCTTTGAGCTTTACAGTCTCAGTCCCTAACACTGACAGCCAAAATATTTATTCTACATCAATAAAGAGGTTTAAGGCACCCCAAAAGTGTCAAAGAGTCTGAAAGCCAGCCTCCCGAGTACGTTCATACCATCACTGGTCACCCCACCCCCCAAGACAAGAGACACCCACTCACCTTCAACACAGAAGCCACGACCACCACCCTGCCCACGGTCTGCCTGTAAGACACAACGAGAAAAACAAAGAGTTGGAAACACTGGCCTGCAACATGGCCTTGCATTACAAATAACGGGGCACCATCAAAGCCTATGACCATGAGCACATGTCTGAAAAACATGGAAGCAATGGGTGGAAACATGCTTTTACTCAGAAAACTGCCCACCTTCCTGCAAGGAAATCACATTCCCCATTATGGTGCCACAAACTTATTACCCACTCTGGGCCTCAGCGTGAACATATTGAGCATGATTTTTAAGTCATCCTCTCCTTCAGGACCATATGAGTTCTCATCATTGACCCAATGCAGGCACATGCAGGCATGTGTACACTTGTACAAGCGCATGCTCACCAGAGATGTGTCCTGGAACTGAGGACACCAAGCAGGGCTGGGATCTGCATGGAAGAAAGGTATGGGACCAGTTATGGAAGAAACCCAACGGAGAGCACCTGGGAGCTGTAGGCCAAACGACAGTGTCTTTGGAGTGCATAACCTGTAGAAAAACAATTAAGTCAGCTGTCTATTTACTTCCTCACTCTTAGGACTGAAGCTAATGCATTTTTCTCCTGTACAGGGTTAACAATCATTCCAAAGGAATTGATGAGTAACAGTAAGTAAATGAACCAAAAAAGGCACAACAATGGTTACAAGAACACAGAGCAAAAACATCTCTGGAACTGTCACTGCAAAAGCACACAGCAGCGGTCCTGACCAGTGAGGAGAAGGCACACTGCTCATCCCTGGCCTTAAAACAACAGGTCACACTCCAAACACTGGGTGACGTTATTGCACAGGGTAAACACAGAAGGATACCATGAAGTCACACACAACTTCCTCAGGGGAAATGAGAACATGGCTGCACTTCAATCGCTGGCCACCTCCAGTTTGGTCATTTTTCACACAAAGGTTTTTGAAATTCTAGCAATGACCATGGTATTTATCACCCATTAAGGACATGCGAATCATGAGTAACAGGCTGTTCACCAACTGAGGTGACGCTTGCTCAGGACCCTACGGAAAATGGAATCAGCCCCCTCAGAGTCCGATTTGTTAAGTACAGAAAGAAAATCCTTGGTGACTTAAACGTCCCATTCCTGAACACCGTAGTCAAAGAGGAGGATTAACAGTACACAAATGACTTCGCTGCCAAAAAAGCGAGCCACACACTTACTTTCATGTTGCCTCTGGTCTCCACTAAAGACACAAGACATCCACTCACCTAAAACATGAAGGCCATGGCTACCACCTTCCCACATGGTCTGTCTGCAAGACACAAGGAGGACAAAAACAAGGCGTTGGAAAGATTTGCCTCAACATGACCTTTTCTGAGGAACAAGGGGGCACCATAAAAGCCTGTGGCCACCAGCTGGCTGTGTTCACAGGGAGTAAATCAGATACAGGCTTGTGGGGTTCCCTCATGAATTTATTTCTGTCAAGAACCCAAATCCCACATCTTTGTGGGAAATCACACTGCCCAAAATGGTGCCACAAAACTATCACCTACGCTGGGCCTCAGCGTAATCGAATTGAGCATGAGTCTTAAGCTATCATCTCCTTCAGGGAAACAAGAGTTCTCATCATCGACCCAACGCAGGCACATGAAGGCATCTGTGCACCTGCACATGTGCATGCTTACCAGAGATGGTTCCCGCAGGGGAAACACAGAGGAGGACCGGGGTCTGCACGTGTCCAGTTCTGGAAGAAGCCTCAGGTGAAGCACTGAAGAAGGACAAGAGCAAAAATCTCTTTGGGAGTAAATGACCTGAAGACACATAAGAAAAGACAGCCATCTGAATTATTTATTTCATCAATCTGTGACCAAACTAATGTACGCTTGGTTTCTGTGGTAATGGTCATGCCGACAATAAAAGAATGATGGATAATAAACAATGGGTCACACTCAAAACACTCGGTGACGACTACTGCTCAGGGTTGGCCACAGAATGACACCTTAAAGTCACACACAATTTACGCTGAGGAATACAGGTATCAGTATACCTCAAACACTGTGCTCGCTTCCTGTGTTCTAGGTAAGCCCTACCCACCACGAAAACTTACGGAGGAGCCTAAGTACCCACTGTGAACTTGAACTTCCATGTTACCTTTCATAGTGAGAACCATACAAGTGATTCCACACAGGATACTGACTGAACACATCAATTGGGTTCTTTGAAATAAAAGTGACTCTATGACAGTGATATGAAAAACATGCCCGAGGCCGTGCCTCTCTGTATCTGTGCTGATGCAAATGTCTATGAAGCATCCTAGGGGAAATGTCCAAGTGTCCATATTATTGACATCTGGACCACACTGGAAGAAGAGCTGTCATGGGGGCCACACACTAAATACACTGTGATAAGAAATCACAAAAGTGATACTGTTTGAAGTAGTTATGACTTGTATTGGGCCACATTCATAGCCATCCTGAGTTGCTGTTGGCTTGCAAGCTGCAGGCCGAACACCCCTGGTCAGGCCGACCCTATTGGACGGAAGCCCTATCAATGGCAAACCACTGGCCTGTTTTCAGTAAGTGAAAGAGGTCGAAAGACCAATCGAACCTCACCACAATTACTTAAGCCCATGGATGTGGTGACGCCTTAAGGTCCTGTCCACACTCACAGTTAGCCCCAAAGTCAACACTTTTCCCACTGGCATCAAAGGCATCAAAGGGCATCAAAGGCCAGTGGGAAAAGACTGTTGCTGCATGTCAATGTCTGGATGCCATTGTCATGGTCATTGTTATACAAATGTTTTGTGAGATTCCAACACTGACTGAGATATTGTCATCCATCCAGTGTGTGAGATTGTGGTATCTGGCTGAACCTGAAAGGATGTTTGCTCAAGATTCCATCAAAGATAAAAATGTGACACTCTTCTCAAATTTACTATACATAAGAAAGAAATCTCTTACTTTTAGAGTTTTAGTCCCTAACACTGAGAGTAAAAATATTCTGCATCAGAAGGGAGGTTTAAGGCAGCTGAAAAATGTCACAGAGTCTACAAGTCAGCCTGCCACTGACTTTCACATTGTCCCTGGTCTCCAAACATGCAAGACAACACACGCCCACTCACCTTAAACATTAAGGCCACAGCCAACACCTTGCCACATGGTCTGCCTGCAATACAGAATGAAACAAACGGTTGGAAAATTTGGTCTCATCTGTGGCCTTCCGTGACAATCAAGGTGGCACCCTTAAAAGCTTACGACCACGAGCAGGCCATGTTCACAGGGAAGGGAAGGGTGCAGGTGCATTCGGGATTCCCTCAACAAAATGCTGCTTCCAAAAATCAGTCCCCATCATGGTGCCAAAGACCACTGCCTACACTGGGCCTCAGCGTGAACATAATGAAAGTGATTTTTAAGTCATCCTCTCCTTCAGGACCATATGAGTTGTCATCATTGACCCACCAGAGGCACACACAGGCATCTGTACACCTGCACACGCACATACTCATCAGTCATGTCCTCAGCCTGAGGACAACAAGTAGAGCTGGAATCTGCACGTGTCCAGTTCTGGAAGAAGCTCAACATAGAACACCTGAGAGTTGTAGACCAAACAAAAGTCTTTTTAGGAAAATGACCCGGAGAAAGAGGAGAAAAACCTGTCTAAATCATGTATTACATCACTCTTAGAAATGAGCTAATGCATACTTCTTTTTTGTGATAATGATTATTTGAAAAATCAATGAAGATGATAACTAAAAAATTTAACGTCATCCTCCAAAAAAAGCAAAGTACGTATTTACTCAACAGAAACAACTGGGTGTCGTCTTCCAGTGTCACATGAAGTCAAGTAAAGATACAGCAGTGGTTTTAAAATATTCTAAACATCAAGCTTTCCCCCAACTACACACCAGGATTTAAACCAACGTAACCAGAGATGAAACAGTACCCCTAGCATATCAGCAACCTCATTTTGGGTACTAAGAAGGGGTGAAAGAACCACACGGTAACAACCAAATTTACACATGCCCGTGAATCTGTCAATGGACATGGTGCAGTCTTATCCTTTTGTTGAAGCTTCACTATTTACTCCAAAATTCTACAGAGCTTGCCAACAAACCTCCAGCCAAAAATACTGTACAACTTCTGTCTCTGGACTCAAGCAGTATGACTGTATTTTACACAAAGGCTTGGTGCAACTCCAACACTAAGCACAAGAGGATTATGCGTAACAAGCTGGGATACAACTGACATGACTCTTCTGCAGGGGCCAGTGGACAAAGAAAGTGGACAAAGAAAATGGTTCTCTTACAGTCCAACATTAAGCAACAGGAAGCACACCTTTGGAGTCTGAAGCTCCCATTCCAGAAACTGACAATCATTAAGAATTCAGCCACTTTCAGTAACGAGGGCAAGCGCGTGCACAAAAGCCTTTATGGCCTGACTACAAGCTTCTCCTTCCTTTTGGTTGTCTCTGGCCTCCATCCAGGACGAAGACCCCACTCACCTTCTACATAAAAGCCACTGCTACCACGTGTCCCATCGTCTCACGGCAAGACACAATGACAGAAATAGAGTTGGACAGTCTGACACCTGCACAGCCCCCCGTGAGACACAAGGGGGCACCATTAAAGCCTAAGAGCATGAGATGGCCGCATTCAGAGACAAGTGATGCAGTGGAGGCAAGTGGGATTCCCTCAAGAAATCGTTATCTCCAGAAATCAGTCCCCATCATGGTGCCACATAAGTGTCACCTACTCTGGGCCTCAGGGTAATCCTGTTGAGCATCATTTTTAAGTCATCATCTCTCTTCAACACAGTATGAGTTTTTGTCTTTGACCCAACGAAGGTTCTGTCCTGACATCTGTAAGTCTGCACATCACATGCTCACCAGTGGTGTTTCCTGGAACGGAGGCCACTGAGGAAGACTTGAGATCTGTACTTCTCTAATTCTGGAAGACACCTGACACAGAGCAAACGGGGAACTCTAGGCCAAACAAAAACTTTTTTTGGAAAATGACCTGAAAAAGAGAAAGACAGCTGTCTAATATGCTTATTCTGTCATTATCAGGATTGAAACTAATAAATGTTAGTCTTTTACATGGTAATAACCATTCAATGTAAAATAACATAACACAAATAAAAAGGAAGAATCAATTAATGAAAAAATGAGAAAGAAAACAACGAATGAAAAGATAGGCGATAGAATAATAAGCCAAAAAAGGCTCACAACACTGATGCAAGAGCATACACAATAAAACCAGTGCAGTGATTCTCTACAAACATACAGTGTTTGTCATGATGGTGAAGACCATGCGTATGGCTCACTCTGGTGCTGAAACAGAAGCTCAATGAAAAAACACAGGGCTAGCCTAGTTATTCCGAGTACACCAAAAATTATGCTATGAAGTCAGCTGCAATTTAAACCAGGGAACTCGTCTGGACACCTCCCATTCTGTGCACTTGCCTATTTGAGGCAAATCCACCCACCACAAAAAATTTCAAGCCAGAGCCTAAGCACCAGCTGCAGACCTGCACTTCAAAGATCACTTTGGTGCATGACCATTCCGCCCAAGTGGCCATGAGAGTGTTTCTTCCCTGATGACATACCCGGAGTGTCACTGTGTTGGAAACAAAGTAACGCTGCAACAGTGATTTTGAACTTTTCTCAACATGGTTCCCACCCCCATTCTGAAAATGTAGATGTCTACCCATCATGGTTTAGCACGACCTAACCAGAGAGCAAACACTGTCAATAGCATGTTAGTGACCAGATTTGGGGGAAGGACAAAGAGTCACAGAACCAATCCAGCTAAGCCAGGTTTAGAGAAGCCCAGAAATCTGTCCTTGCACAAGGTGAAGCTTTATCATTTTGTAGAAGCTGCATAGTTTGCCACCAAACTCAACAGTTTGCCAAAGACCACCCATGGGAAAACATCACTGCTGTACTTCCATCTCTGCTCACCATGGCAGTTAATTTTCCAACAAAGGGTTGGTGAAATTCCAAAATAACAAAGATACTGACCACCAGTAAGCATATGAAAATTATGGTTAACAAGCTGGAATGCAGCTGACATCACACTTGTTCAGGGACCCATGGAAAAAGAAAGTGGCCCCTAACAGCCCAGCATTATAAGCAGGAAAAACACCTTTGGAGGTAAAGGGCCAATTTGTAAAACTGCAAGTTGTAAAAAATTTAGCCTGCTTCAATACAAAGGACATTAATTGCACACAAATGTTTTTATTGCTTGAAAAGCTTACCATTACTGTCGAGATGTCTCTCATCTCCATCCAGACTCCATCCACCTTCAACACAAAGGCCACGACCACCACTTTGGCCACGATCTTCCTGCCAGACACAATGAAGAGAACAAGCAGTTGCAAAGAGTAGCCTCAAGTACGGCTTTCTGTTATGAACAAGGACACAGCATTGTAGTCTATGACCACATCAGGCCATGTTCTCAGGGGAGCAATGGGGTGGAGACACGTGGAATTCCCTCAGGAAAATTCTGCCTCTAGAATTCAATCTCCATTCTGCTGCCAAAGACTGTCACCTACACTGGGCCTCAGCGTGAACATATTGAGCATGATTTTCCAGTCATCCTCTCCTTCAGGACCATGTGAGTTCTCATCATCGACCCGACAAATGCACTTAGCAGCCACGTGTATGTCTACACACTCACCACAGCAGTTCCCGGGATGCCAAAGGTGGGCTTGGAATCTGCCCATCCGCAATTCTGGAAGAAGCCTGACACAGAAAGCCAGACATGTTTGGTCCGAACGAAAATTTATTTCAGGAACATGACCTGGAACTGAAGGGAATGATGCCCATGTGAACTATTTACCTCATCAACATTGGGACTCAACCTAATGGTTTTGCTCCTATCTGTGGTGACAATCATTCCAAAAATGAATGAATGACAGAATGAATGAATGAGAATAAATAACTTAGAGCCAAAGCAATGACCCAGTGAACGAGCATCGTTGAATGAGGAACAGAAATACAAATGCCAGTCCTCCGATTTCCACTACAGTAACACACGGCACATGTGACCAAGGTGAAGACAATGCACACTGTTCATTCCTGATGTTAGAACAATGGGTCTCACACCAAACACTGGGGGAGTCCTATTGCTCAGGATAACTCAAAATGTAGCTGTGAAGTCACACCCAAGTTACTCAGGGGAACACAGATATCTGATCGCCTGCCGTGTGGCTCACTTGCTGTATTCTTTTTAAAGATTTTATTTATTTATCTTTAGAGGGGAAGGGAAGGAGGGAGGGAGAGAAACATCAATGTATGGTTGCCTTTCGTGCATCCCCTGCTGGGAACTGGCCTGCAACCCAGGCATGTGCCCTGACTGGGAATCGAACCGCAATCTTCTGGTTCGCAGGCCCGTGCTCAATCCACTGAGCTACACACCAGCCAGGGCTCACTTGCTGTATTTTAATTTAAGCAAACCCCATGCACTGTGGAAAGTTTCAAGCCAGAGCCTAAGCATGAGCTGTGAACTTGCACTGCAAAGTTCCCTTTCGTATGTGATCACATTCCCCAAAAAGCCATGCAAGTGTATCCTCACTGGACACACAACTCCATGCCTCACTGTAGTCACATAAAGTCAAAGTGAAAACACAACTGTGACTTTCAAATATCCTCAACATCATGCCTACCACTCTGGATGGAACCGCACAGACCTGGTATTGTTCAGGGCAAAGCTGACCGGAGACAGCACTATCAACAGCACTCAGCCGGCCTGTTTTTGGGAAGGCACCAGAGGACCAATAGAACACAACAATTCTGAAGGGATGGGGTGGGAGGCATGTGGGTTCCCTCAAGAAAACACTTGCCTCGGACATCACTGACCTGATTGTGGTGAAGCACAGTAAGTACAAGAACCACTTGATCACAACCAAATTTACAGAAGCCCACAAATCTCTCAGTGGACATGGTGAGGCTTTACTGTTTCATTGAAGCTTCATAATTTAGCCCCAAACTCAACAGTGCCTGACAATGAAGATCCATGAAAAAATATCACTGTGACACTTCAGCCTATAGAATCCAGGTGAATACTTATGTTTTAAGTACTTCTGGTGACATTCCAAAGTAACTAAGACACTGATCATCCATTATGCAGATAGAAGTATGGCCACTAAGCTGTGCGCACAAGCTGACCTCATTCTTGTTCAGGGTCCCACAGAAAAAGAAACAGACTCCATAGAACCTACAATCACAAACAGGAAGGACACCACTGCAGTTTTAAGGACTGATACCTACAACTCACTCATAAAAAAATTAGCCTGCTTCAGTGCTGAGGGCAAAGCAGTACACAAGCTGTTGCTGCCTGGCAACAAGCTTCCCCTCACTTTCAAGTCGTCTCCATCCAACATAAGACCCCACTCACCTTCCACATTAACGCCATGGCCACCAGGTCAACTGCAGTTTCTCTGTAAGACACGAATGAAACAAAGAGTTAAAAAAAAAAAAACAGACCTTATGTTTGGCCTTCTTTCATGAATGAGGGACAGCGACAAAGGCTACAACCGCAGCAGGCCACGTGCACATGGTGGTGATGGGGTGGAGGCATGGAAATTGTTCTCAGAAAATTTCCCATCCCTTTGGGGGTAAATTACATTTCCACCATCATGGGGTCACAAGATTGTCACCTACAGTGGGCCTCAGAGTGAACATATTGAGCATGATTTTTAAGTCATCTTCTCCTTCAGTGCAGTATGAGTTCTCATCATTGACCCAAAAAAGGTACATGCAGGCATCTGTCCAGCGGCACATGCCAGGGCTCACCAGACATGGTTCTTGGAAATGAGGACAACGAGGAGGGCTGGGATCTGCACGTGTCTGGCTCTGGAAGAAGGGTGGCATCAAGAGTCAAAAATGCTCCAGGCCAAATGAAAATCTTTCATGGGAACTTGACCTGGAGAAAGAGCATTACACAGCTGTGTACATGACATTTTCCGTCACTGTTGTATCAAAGCAAATCAATGTTATTTCTTTTTGTGATGATTCAAAACTCAACAAATAAATCAATAAATATTAAATTACCACATGAGAGACTCAGCAAAATTGACCAAAACACAGACACAAAATCAGTCTTACCTATTTCACTACAAATGAAGGTGAAAAATATATTATGGGTAGAGAAAATATGGGAAGTCACTTGCCCTGGGTGAAGCAGTGACACCATGAAGTCACAAGGTTTACTCTTTGGAAACCCTTCCATTTGCTGCTTGTTATATTCTAGGCTGAACCCACACACAATGGAAACTGCCAATGTGCAAACTGATCTCCAAGTATAAACTTTCACTTGAAAGTTCATTTTCATTTCTGACCATATTCCCCCCAAGAAGCAATTAAGTGTTTCTTCAATGGATACAAGACTGGAGGCCTTACTTTGGTCAAATGAACCAAAGTTAAGATACAACTTGGTTTCAAATCTTCTCTACCTTGCAACCAACACCCTTGGGGTATATATAGAGTTTGACCTGGTGGCATTCAGGGAAATGCTACCTGCAGAGGAAATGTTATCACCAACACAGCAGGGAGCCAATTTTGGTGAAGCATTGAGGGCAAAGACCAACTGAAATCAAACAATTGTCCAAATGCCACAATTCAGTCACTGGCTTAGTGTCCCCTTGTTTTGTCCAAGACACGTTCTTTCATTCTAACCTCAACTGTTCTCTCAATGAAAAATCCTAGGGAAATCACTACTGCGCTTTAACCTCTGCATGCCACTGCCATGCTCTTGTTTACACAAAGGTTTATAAATTTCCACCACTCACCATGTATTTACCTGGTGTTAGATTGCAGGAATTGGGGGTAACAAGCTGTGCACACAGTGACACAACAGTTGCTCAGGACCCCAGAGAAAATGAAATCGGTTTTCTTAGAGTCTGAAACATTACTGACAGGTAATCTTTCCAGTTTTTAGGCCCTATTCCTCAAGGTCGACAGTCATAAAATTTCTCCTCCATCAGTGCTGTGGTTTCAGACAGCACACAGGTTTCTTTATCGACAAACTCAACCTCCCATTCCTTTCATGTTGTCCCTGGTCTCCATCTAACACAACAGAAATCCACTCACCTTCAACATCAAGGCCATGAACACCACCTTTCCCATGGTCTCCCTGCAAGGGACAACAGAAAAAAAAAAGTTGTAATTGGTGGCCTAAAGTAAGCCTTCCACGAGGAACAAGGGGCATGGCAGGCTTGTTTGTATGGAAGTGATGGCACAGTGGCAGTTGGATTTTTCTCAGAAAATCACCCGCCTCTCTGGAGCAAAACAATGCTCCCCCATCATGGTACCACAAGATGTCACCTACAATGGGCCTCAGCGTGAACATTTTAGATACAATTTTTCAGTCATCACCTCTCTTCAAGAGTGGAGTTCTCGTCATTGACCCAAAAAGAAATTTTGGACTCATCTGTACAACTACACATTCATATACTCACCAGAGATGCTTCCCTTTATATGTCCCAGAGACAGTAAGAGCACCCTGGGAACTCTAGGCCAAAAAAAATCTTCTCTTAAAAATAGACCTAGAGAAAGAGGAGAAAATAAAAAATCTAAACTCTTTGTTCTGTTGGTTTAGGACTAAAGCTAATACATGTTGCTCCTATTTGTGGTACCAGTCATTCAAAAAACAAAAAATGTATGAAGGAACAAAAAGTAAGATAGAAACGAAGGATGAGAGAGAGAGAGAGAGAACAAACAAACCCAGTATCAAGAATGTTTGCTAAAGCACACAACGAGTCCTATGATTCTCACTACAAAACACATAGCATTGGGAAAATGCTGAAGAGAACGCACACTCCCCCATGCCTGGCATTGAAATGGTACTCAAAGACAAAACACTAGGCAAGCCTTAATGCTCAGGGCCAACCACAGAGTGACACCTGGAAGCCACAGGCATTTACTAGGGAAAGGCCAGAAATCTGAACTCCTCTGATTTTGATCACAGGTTACATTCTAGGAAACCCCTCCAAACGTGGAAACTTTCTATGTGGGGCCTAAGGACCAGCTATGAACTTGAACTTCAAACTTCCCTTTCATATCTGACCTCACCTCCCAAGAAGCAAAGCAAGTGTTTCTTCATGAGATGTACTGGCTGCCTCATTCTTGTGCAAGATGAGTTAAGGATACAAAAGTGATTTATTTTCAAATATTCTGAACAGCATTCTTATCCCAGTTTTCAGCAAATGCAGCTTCCTATCTGGCACAATAAAGGGCAAACCATTCAATGGCACATCAGCATATGAGTGTTATGAGTAACAAGGGAGGATACAACTGACATCGTAATTGTTCAGGGTCCCATGAAAAAAGGAAACGGTCCACTTAGATTCCAGCACTACAAACAGGAAGGACACCACTGGGGTCTGAAGGTCACATTCCTAATATTCAAATTGTAAAAAACCACCCTGTGTGAATACACAGGTTAAAGTGGCACGTAAATGCTTTACTGCCTGACAGCAAACCTCCTGCATACTTTGTCGTCTCTGGTCTCCTCTAAGACAAGAAACCAACTCACCTTCAACACAAAGGCTGCAGCTACCACATTGCCCATGGTCTCCCTGCAAGACACAATTGGAGAAACAAGGAGTTGGAAAAAATGGCCTCAGTTTGAGTCCTTCTGTGACTAACAAAAGGTCACGGTCAGGGCCTACGATGACAGGAGGCCCTGTTCTCAGGGAAGTGATGGGGTGCATAAACGAGGGATTCTCTCAAGAAAAGGATGCCTTGAGAAATCACTCTCCCCATCAGGGTCCCACATGACTGTCACCTACACTGGGCCTCAGCGTGAACATATTGAGCATGATTTTTAAGTCATCCTCTCCTTCAGGGCAGTATGAGTTCTCATCATTGACCCAACAGAGGCACTCTTCTGACATTCCCCACCTGCACACATCATGCGCTCACCAGATGTGCGTATGTCCTGGAACTGGGGGTGCCATGGTGGGCTAGGGTTCTCCACGTGTCCAGTTCTGGAGGAAGCCTGAAATGAGAGAGCACCACATATGGGATATGTAAAGTGAAAATCTTTTGTTTTGAAAAATAACCCAGAGAAAGAGGAAAAAACATAGTCTAAACCATTACTAATACATCAATCCTGAAACTGAACTTAAGGCAAGCTGGTCCTTTCTGAGCTAAAAATCATTTGGAAAAAAAAAACAATGAATGAATGAAAAAAATGAGTAAATGAGTAAATAAATAAATAAATAGTACAACAAAGACAAGATCTCACAAAAGGCTCAACAATGTTGATTCGAGAATGTACAGAAACACAAAGCGCAGCCCCCATGTGTTCCACTACACAAACACATGACATTTCTAATGAAACCTGAAGACAGGGAAGTCTGCTCCTCTCTGATGGTGAAATAATGCGTCACACACAAAACCGAGACGAGACCCAGTGCTCATGGTAGAGCATGGGATAACACTGAGATGTCCCACACAGTTTACGCCATGGAACACAGATTTCTGGACATCTCACATTGTGCTCTTTTGCGCGTGTGTGCGCGCACACACACACACACACACCCCTATACTAACGCCACCCATCATGGAGCTTTCAAGCCAAAGAAAAGCACATGGCTCAGAGCCTATGCACCAACTATGAACTTGCACTTCAAAGTTCTCTTCCATACCTGACCGCAGCCCTCAAAGGCCATGCAAGTTATCTCACTGAAAACACAACTAACTAACTGGGTGCCTCAACTTGATCAAGATGAAGTCCAAGTGAAGACACTACAGTGACTTTCAACTAACTATTCTTCACCTTGTGTCTATCACTGTTTGTGAAAATCTGGATGTTTATCTGGTATCATTCAGGACACAACAAAGGACTGATTTTGATGAAGCATATGAGGACAAAGAGATTCTGTAAAACCACATTTTCAGAAGCCTGTAATTCTTGCCATGGACAAGGAGTAGCCTTTTTTTGGTAAAAGCTCACACTCAGATGAAAACACAACAGCGCTGGGCAGTGAAGGCCCACAGAAAAATAATGTTTGCCAAACTTCAATCTCGATGCCACCACAATAATTTTTACACAAGGTTCTGTAGAATCCCAACAGTGGTGATGGTATTTATCACCCATTAATGATATGGGAATTCTGGGTATCAGGCCGTGAACTGGCATGATACTTGCTCACATTCAGACAGAAAAATAAAGGAGCCTAAGTAAGACTCTAATTCATTACAAACAGGAAGGAAATCTTTGGAATTTTAAGGTCTCATGTCTAAAGGCTGACAGACACAAAACTGGGCCTACACAACTCTGCAGGTGACAGCAGCACAGATGCACCTATTAATTGCCTTCCTGAAAGCCAGCCTCCCACTTACTTTCATGGTGTCCCTGGTCTCTACGCAAGACAACAGACATCCACTCACCTTCAACATTATGGCCACGAGCACCAACTGGCAACAGTCTCACTGCAAGACACAATGTCAACAAAACAAGTTGAAAACACTGGCCTCATCTATGGCCTTTGTAGTGAATGAGAGGCATGATCAAAGCCTACGACCACAGCAGGCCATGTTTATGGGGAAGTACCGGGGTGCAGGCACATGGGATTCCCTCATGAAACTGCTGCCTCCAGAAATCACTCCTCCCATCAGGGTGCCAAAAGGCTGTTGCCTACACAGGGCCTCAGCGTGAACATATTGAGCATGATTTTTAAGTCATCCTCTCCTTCAGAACCATATGAGTTCTCATCACTGACCCACTGAAGACAGTTTGCAGGCATGTGTATAACTGCATGGTCAATATACTCACCGGAGATGGGACCTGGATCTGAGACTGCCAAGTGGGACTTGAGATCTGCACCTTTCCAGTGATGAATAATCTGGACAGAGAGCACCCTGGAAACTCTAGGCCAACTTAAAAGTCTTCTTTGGGAACTGGGCCTGGAGAAAGAGGATTAAAGCAGTGGATTAAATCACTTACTCCTTCACTCTTTCAGACTGAATTAATGCATGTTGCTCCTTTCTGCAGTAATGAACCTTTCAAAATAAAATAATGAACCAAAGAATACAGAAAGGAAGAAAAAAGAACAAAGGGAGGAACAAAGGGAGGAACAAAGGGAGGGAGGAGAGAAGGGAGGAAGGGAGAGAGGAAGGGATGGAAAATAAAGAAAATGAAATGAGCCTAAAGAGGTTGAACGACATGGATTGAATAACACACCAGATAAAGTCAGTCCTATGATTTTTGCTACAAAATACACACATTCATCATCAAACATGACCACAATGCATACATAAGGCTCACCTCTTGCATTATAACAATGGGTTGGGTGAGACTTGTTGCTCAGGGTAGAACCCAGAATGATTCATGAGGCCTCATGCAATTTAATCTGGGGCACAGTGATATCAGGACACCTCTCACTGTGCACACTTGCTATATTCTAATCAAACCCCACCTACCATGGAAAATCTCAAGCCACAGCCTAAAAAGCAGCTATGAACCTGCACTTGATAATTTCCTTTCAGAACTGACCACTCGCCGCAAGAAGGCAGGCAAGTATCTCCTCACCAGATACACAACTGAATGCCTATTTTTCGTCAAACTGAAGTCAAAGTTAAGAGCCAACTGTGATTCTCAAACATTTTTAACACTGTGTGACTGCATATTTTTATCTGGCATCATTCAGGACAATGCTGACTGGAGAGGAGAAACTACCAATGGCACATCAGCAGCCTGCATAAGAGGGCAACAAACGAAGAGAACACAACAAATTCTCAAAACCCAACAGCTAAAAAATACATACCGTGAAACACTGGCTTTTCATAAACTACATGCATTTAGGCAAATCGACAATTTTAGGAAGAATATGAGAACTATGGGTATCTAGCTGTGCACAAATCATACAGGATGCCACCAACAAATCAGCTCCCTGGGAATGGGGTTCATCATAGAAAGGACGGAAATCTTTCAAGTTTTAAAGGTCCAAGTCCTCCCAGGCTTTTCAAACACAGCCTAAATTATCCATGATGTGTAGGGCAGCACACAGGAGTCTTTACTGCCCAAAACGCAGTTTTCCACTTACTTTCAGGTTGTCCCTGGTCTCCACGCAAGACAAGACACCCACTCGCCTTCAACATTGAGGCCACAGCCAGCGCTCTATAAGAGGGTCTCCCTGCAAGACACAATGAGAGAAATAAAGAGTTAGAAGGTCTGGCCCCTGCATGCCCTGCCACGAGGCACAAGGATGCACCACTACAGCCTATGACTTCAGAAGGCAATGTTCACAGTGAAGCGATGGGGTGCAGGCGCGTGGGTTTCCCTGAAGAAAATTCTGCCTCCCAAAGTAACATTCTTTATGGTGGCAAAGATTGTCAACTACACTGGGCCTCAGCGTGAACATATTGAGCATGATTTTCCAGTCATCCTCTCCTTCAGGACCATGTGAGTTGTCATCATTGACCCAAAAGAGGCACATACAGGCATCTGTACACCTGCACATGCTCTCGCTTACTGAAGATGTTCCTGAATCTCAGGACACCAAGGAGGGCTAGGATCTGCACCTGTCCATTTCTGGAAGAAAGAAGCCTTACAGCGAGTGGGTGGTCAAGTCAAGGGCAACCGAAAGTCTTCGCTTAAAAAGTGAGCTGAAAAAACAGAAGGCAGCGATCTAAACTCTATTCTGTTCCTTTAGCCCTGAAGCCACTGCATGTTGCTCCTCTCTCTGCTAATGATCATTGAAAAAAAAATGAATGCCTAAACAGACAAGTAAATAATGGAGTAAGTACCAAGTGAAAGCTCAACAACTTACAAAAAAATTCCTAAGGTTCAGTATAAAAACACACAGCACTTGTCATGAAAGGTGAAGACAATGCATTCTCCACACTCCTGGCGTGAAAATGACACTCCAGGGAACACACTGGGCAAAGCCTATTCCCCAGGAAAGATCACAGAATGACACCATGACGTCACACACCTCTTATTCTGGGGAACAGGGATATCAGGACACTAATCGAGTGGCTCGCTTGCTATATTCCAGGCAAACCTCTCCCCATGCGGGTATTTGCAAATGGAAGCCAAAGCACCAGCTCTGAAATTGCACTTCAAAGGTCCCTTTTACATGTGACGACATCTGCCAAGAAGTCATGCATGAGTGCCCTCAATGGCACACAAATGGAGGATCACTTTTGTGAAAACTGAACCGAAGCAAAGATAAGACAGGGATTTTGAAATATTCTCAACATGGTGCCCAGCATCCACTGTGAAATGTGGAAAGCTATCCAGCATGGTGCAGGGCAACATAATTGGAGAGGAAACGCTATCACTAGCAAACCAGCCCTCTGATTTTGGTGAAGCACAAAGGCTCAAAGATCCAATCGAGAACAACCAAATTTGCAGAAGCCCACAAATCTGTCAATGGACATGGTAAAGCCTTGCCGTTTTGTTGAAGCTATGCTACTTAGGTGCGATCCTCAACAGTGCCTGCCAGTGAAGACCCACAGGAAAACAGCAGTGTGGCCCCTCAACCTCTGGACTACCTGGCATAATTACTTTTACACAAATTTAGTGAAATTCCAACACTAAGCAAGATAATGACCATTCAGTAAGCATATGAGAATAATGGGTAAGAAGCTGGGATGTAACAGATAACACACTTACTCAGGGGCCCATGAAAAAAAAAAGAGTGGCCCCCTTGGAATCCAGCATTATGAATAGGAAGGACACCTTAGGAGTTTGAAGGTCCCAGTCCTAAAACTGAAAAGTTCTAAAAAATTCATCGAGCTTCAGTACTGACATTAAAAGCAGTACTGAAAAATATCTTTACCGCCTAAAAACAAGCCTGGCCTTTAATTTTAAGTCATCTCTCGTCTCCAGCCAAGACAAAGACCCCACTCACCTCTAACAAAGGCCACGGCGACCACCTTTCCCAAGGTCTCCCTGCAAGACACAATGAGAGAAACAAGCAGTTGGAAAGATTGGCCTTGTGTACCACCTTTCATGATGAGCAAGGGAGCACCAACACAGCCTATGAACTTCAATAGGCCATGTTCACTGGAACAGTAGGGTAGAGGCACGAGGGATTGCCTCTTGAAATTGCTACCTTAGAAATTACTCTCCCCGTCATGGTGACGTAAGACTGTCACCTACACTGGGCCTCAGCGTGAACATATTGAGCATGATTTTTAAGTCATCCTCTCCTTCAGGGCAGTATGAGTTCTCATCATTGACCCAATGGAGGCACATGCGGGCACCTGCACATGTGCACACTCACCAAAGATGCTGTTGGATCTGAGAACACCAAGGTGGGCTTGACATTGCCTATTTCCAATTCTAGAAGAATCCCAACGTGCAGAGCGAGAGAGGCTCTAGGTCAAAGAAAACGTTTTTTTGGGAAACAACCTGGAAAAAGAGGAGAATAACAGCCATCAGAAACATTTATTCGGACAATGATGAGGACTTAAACTAATACATATTGCTCTTTTCTGTGGTAATGATCATTCCAAAGATGAATGACTGAATCAAAGCATGAATGAATGAATGTGTACATAACTAAATAATTGCATGAATGACACAATGAAAGGCTTAACAATGTTCACTCAAGAACACACACACACACACACACAACCAGTCTTATGTACTTCCCTACAAAGACACACAGCACTGGTCATGAAAGGTGAAGACAATACATAGTGCTCATTCGCAGCTTTAAAACAATAGGTCACAGACAAAATACTGGGTGACTCCTGTTACTCAAGCATAAAACAAAGAATTACTCCAAGAAGTCACACACAATTTTCTAAGTGGAACACAGTTATCTGGATACCTCCTATTTGTTCACTTGTTCTATTTATAGTTAAATCCACCCACCATGGAAACCTTCAAGCCAGAACCTAAGCACTGAAAGATTGCTGTACTTCAGGACAGAGTATAAAAGATATAACTACATCCATGAAATTTCTTTAATGCATTCACAATAAAAAAATAAACTCTGATGTCAACACAAAGTGTGGGGAGGGCAAAGAAAAATGTAGAGGTTTTGCATGCAATTGAGGGTAAATTTTTACAGGCTTAAATTACAGTTCTCTCAGTAAATGGTTCAATGCAAGCCTGTGGTAACCACAAAGAAAAAACCTAAAGTAGATACACACAATCTCAAAACAGAATAAACAAACCAGTGGGGTAGCAAGACAGGAGAGCAGCTGGGGGTGGGTGGGAATTGCTACAGATGCAACAAAACAATAAAACCATCCAAACACAAAGACAGAAGAAAAACAAGGGAAGTACAAATCAGACAATGAGAGATAACCTGGAAGAAATGAAAAATTACTGGAAATATACAACTTGCTAAGAATCACAAAAAAATTAAAAATCTGAGCAGTTAATAATAACTAAGATGACTGACTCAGTAATTAGAAAAAAACCTACCCAAAAGAAAAACCCAGCACAAGATGACATTACCAGTCAACTCTACTGAATAAAACAAAATAAAAAACCCCCACAACCATTCTTCTCCAACCCCCCCTAAAAATCTTTGGAAGGGACAACACTCTTATACTTTTATGAAAATAAAAGCACCCTAAAACCAAAGCTACACAAAGACAGTAGCTTGTAACTAAAACTACAAGGTATTATTCCTTACAAACACTCACCCAGAATCTTCAACATACTGGGTTAGCCAGAATTCGATTTATTTTTCTTTCCTTTAAAATAAAAGGCACAATTCCCATTTTCAACAATAACCTTCCTAAGTTAGATATTTGAAGTATGTCAGCTATCTTCGGCTATTGGCTTCTAGTGGTACAGGCCATGGGTGCTGCTAAACATCTTTCAATGAATAAGACAGCCCCACAGCCAAGAATTATATGGCCAATATGCTTTTGACACATCTGATGAGTTAGCACCTTCTTCATACACTACACAAATCTTTTTTTGTATTTCGGTTGCATTTTTACATTTCTTAAAATAATAAGATATTAAAATATTACCTATCTTCTTCCGTCTTAAATATTAAAATGGCTGTACAAAAGTTCACCAATTTTGATAAGATTTATTTTTGGGATGAGAGGATATTTCAATATATGGAAACCAATGAATGTGATATACCGTATTATCAGAAAAAAGGGTAACAGTTATATAATCATTGTAGATACAAAAAAAAGCATCTGACAACATTCCCCATTCTTTCCTGCTAAACACACCAAACATGGTACATACATAGAAGAAATGTCCCCAACAAGATAAACACAATATATGACAAAAAACACTGCACTCAAAGCTGAAATGCTTAAGGCTTGTCTTCTAACATCAGTATCAAGAACGGGATCCCAGCTCACACCATTTCCACTCAACACAGCGCTGCAAATCCTATTCACAGCTACTGGATAAGGAGAATAAATAAAAGACATCCAAACCACAAAGGAACAATATAAAAAGTCTGTGTTCGCAGATTAGAGGATGTATATGTAAAAACCACCCAAAGAGTCCACAGAAAAATGTTAGAATAAATGAATTCAGGCTATTTGAAGGATACAAAACCATACAAAAATCAACTGTATCCCTCACAATGAGCAATCAATAAAAGGAATTAATAAAATAATCACATTTACAACAGGACCCAAAATAATACACAGGGATACACTGAAACAAGGAAATAAAACATCTTTACACTGAAAACTGTGAAGTGTTCAGGGTAGAAATATGTGTCTTGTGTTAACTGAAACAATCAATATTGCTAAAAATGACCACACGACCAAAACAGATTTTTATATTCAATGCACTCTATCAACATTCTAACGACATTTTTCACAGATATAGAAGGAAAATCCTAAAAATTACAGGGAGGCCAAAAACGACCCCCAAAATCCAAACAATGTTGGGAACAACAGTAAAGCTAAAGTCTTCAAACTAGATTATAAAGTTATAGTACCAAAACATGGGCATAAAAAGCAAGCATACAGACCAGTGAAATAAACAACCTGAAAATAAACCCACAAAACCACGATCAACTAATCTTTAATAGGAGTACCATGAGTCCATGAACACAATATAGGGAACTTATCGTCCAAAAAACAGTGCTGGGAAACTGGACAGCCACATGGTAAAAAATAAAACAAAAAGAGAAAAACAGGGCTATATGTTACAAGTTTAACACCTGAAATTGTAAACATAGGAGAAAAGCACCTTGATGTTCTCCTGGGCCCCCTTTTTTTGAACGGGAAACGAAAAGCAAAACTAAACAACTAGCCTACACAGCAAAGGATACAAGGAACACAATGAAAAGACAATATATGTAATGGTAAAAAATATTCATGCCCGGGGGCCGTCATGATGATGGTGCGGTGGACTTGGAGCTCCCCTCCTCACAAGGATACATCAAACATACACGTGTTATTACGAGAAAAAAGTCGGATGGACAATGTGAACCAACAGAACTACTACATAACAAGCAATCAACACACTTCGCCTAGCCAAGGCCAGGAAACCAGGCTGAGTCGCACAGGCGCGCGCCTTTGTGACATTTGCCTTGGACTTAGATCTGGCACCCAGCATTGTGCTAGAATTTGTCCTCAGCCACTCAGACAGCAGCTGCCCCGCCCCCCCGAAAAACAGCACCGCCAGCATCACCACGCGCGCAAGAGAAGCTGCTCACTGGGAGACCAAAACAGCAGGTGGTAGCTGCTTTGCGCACCCTACTGACTCCTCGCACGAAGACCTCGGCTTCCCAAAAACGCACCAAACAAACAACGTAGCACCCACTGACCTGTGGGGCAACCCTGCTCAATGAAGCTGCAGGGGTGGAGGAACTTGGCCCTCTCACAGTCCCGGTGGACCAAGAGAGAGGAAGTGAAGGCCCTCTACGCGCCAATCCTACAGGAAATACATACCCAAGCCTAGAGAAGGATGGGAAATACCCAAGAGTCCCCGGGCCCACGCAGGCGCACAAGGCTGGCCCAGAACAGGAAAGGGCGGAGCGAGTAAAGCCCGGAAACTGAGCCGAGCACTGCTCCTTCTGAGGATGTTTTAAACCAATAAGGCAAACTCCGGACTTCCTGAGGCGGAAGGGCGTGGCCGACGCTGCAAGGACCCGTAGTGCCCCTAAAAAGCGAAATTAACCAGGCGCCAAGGAAACCAAAAACCCAATTGGAAAAGACACCGGCCCCTTTGTTCATTTACAGCGTTATTCACTAGTACCAAAATATGGAAGGCTACAGGTGCCCATCAATACATGAGTGGATGAAGAAGTGGTACATCTAAACAATGGAAAACGATTCAACCTTTATAAAGAAGGAAATTTTACCATTTGCAATTGCATGCGTGGATTCAGATGATATACTACTGGAATTAGAAAAGGATAGGGCCGACATTCTTCAAGAAATAAAAAATAAGTTGGTTTCTATGACATAGTAATTTCAGTTCCATTAGTATCATGACTGATTTTTATCCCCTTTTTTCAAAGTTACTAGGGCAACTACTGTCCAATCGGATGTTTTTATTGTAATACATAGTCTCTTCCCCAAATTTGGTATGACAGCTTGTTCTCTGGTCTCAGTCATTCCTGTTTTCACAGCTGTATTTTGCATACCCTGTGACACTCCTAAAGAACAGCAGCAATGGTGGGTGTCAATAATTTTTGAGGCATCAAATCTCCTCCTGACCCAAGCCATGCCAGCTCCCTTATGCGTCTATTTGATCCTGAAACTTCTAACCAGAGGTGCCATCCTTAAGCTCTGTTCCAAAGTGGTATGGGCTTTGGGTAGACTCAGTGAAATTAGTCAGGGTAGTTGACATTTGTGCCTGGCGTGGGGGTCACAAGTTCTCCTCCTCAGGAGTCTTTCTCTAAGATGACAGGAATAAACAGCAATCAGACAGGAAATCTGCACCTCAGGGACACTATTCATAATAATAATAATAATAATAATAATAATAATAATAATAATACCAGGAAGCTTCTAATTCTATTGAGTTTTACACCCACAGGCAAGAAAATATCAGATCTCAATTCTCTGGCTGCAATTCTGAGGACCCCTACATATTCCTAGTCAAAAACTGATTCACAAATACGACACATTGAAAACCTGAACTCATGACAGGGTTGAATCTGTCTGCTTGGGCTTTAGACACAAACAAATAGGGAACCACAGAAATGACAGCATTGAGCCCTGACTGGTGTGACTCAGTGGATTGACAACCAGCCTGGAAACAAAAGCATTATGGGTTGGATAGCCAGTCTGGGCACAGGCCTAGGTTGCAGGCCAGGTTCCCAGTGGAAGGCAAGCACACATTGATGTTCTCTCCCTCTCTCCTTCCCTTCCTCCAAAAATAAATAAATAAAATCTGCTTAGAAAAATCTGAGTACAGCATTGAATCATAAAACTTGATCAGTTCCCAACTATGCAAGCTTAGGTTTTGATAAGGGCCATTTCATATACATCAGTTATAGAGAGGAGCCCATCATAAGGTTCAGGTCTGAAAGAAAGGACCTCCATTGCCTACAAGCAAGTTGGACTAGGTCAAAGGTTCATTTGAAATTTCTCAATTCGTAGGGGCACCCTTAATCCAGGTAATGGTGCATATCCTGGAAGTTTTATTTTTCTGCAACATACAAGGTAAAAAAGTGACATATAATTTCTAAAAATTATGAGAAGCAAGAATCCAAATTGGTTCAGATGAAAGTATTGCTCAGTTGGAGGGGGACAAATGTAGATGAAAAGAGTGTACAAAGGACATTATCTGACCAGGAGTAAAATTTCTAGTCTAATGAACCTATGAAACCCCGCCCCCTCCACCATCTCAGATAGTCACCTCTACTGGGCCCCCCTGGAATCCTACTGAGAATGATTTTTCTGCATTACATCTTTCAAGAAAAGATCTATTTATCCACACTTAAACTGCAGGAACCCCACGCCTGTAACTTCCTTCTCTTGAAATCTCCAACAAAGAAAGGCATTTTTTTTAACATTTTACCTTCATTTTATTTATAAATACTGTCTATATAAAAACATTTACTTGTCTACTTTTCTAGAAGTTGGCATTTATTACTAAAATCTACATTGAGGTTTCAAATAACAGTATTTTTTAAAATATATTTTATTGATTATGCCATTACAGTTGTTCTATTTCCCCCCTTCGTTCCCCTCAACCCTGCACACCCCTCCCCACCATTCCGTCCTTTAGTTTATGACCATGTGTCTCAAGTTCTTTAGATTCTATATTTCCCATACTATTCTGGCCCTCCCCCCTACCTATCTTATTTTCTACCTACTGTCTATGCTACTTATTCTTTGTACCTTCTCACCCCTTCTCCTTCTCCCACTCCCCTGTTGCTAACCCTCCATGTGATCTTCATTTCTATGGTTCTGCTCCTGATCTAGCTGTCCTCTTAGTTTGCTTTTGTTTTAGGTGTGGTTGTTAATAACTGTGAGTTTGCTGTCCTTTCACTGTTCATGTTTTTTTTTATCTTCTTTTTCTTAGATAAGTCCCTTTAACATTTCATATAATAAGGGCTTGGTGATTCCTTGACAGGGCACATGCCAGGATTGTGAGTTCAGTCCCTGCTTGTGGTACATATGAGAAGCAACTGATCAGTGTTTCCAACATTGTTTCATTCCCTCTCTTCTGCTCTCTCTAAAAATAAGTATTTCTTAAAATGAGTATTACATCTCATGTCCACATTACTCAGGTGTTCCTGTGACCCCCACATCAGGAATATTGGTTCCCCTTACATGCAGAAGGCCTCATTCCTTTGTATTTGCACCAGGGGTTTGCCCAACAGTCAGTTCAAAGAGACCAAGACAGCTTGGTCTCAAGCACGTATCAGGAGTTTTTATATAGAAACAAAACCTTAATATTGACTAGTCCTTGGCTGAACCTTCCAAAAAGTGGAGCAGAAAAACACAGCGTCACTCAAAGCACAAATTTTCCCCTTAAATAAAAGGTACATATAAGGTAGCAAGCTGCTTAGAATTTTAATTCAGCCTCACATATAGGAAAAGCATATGTCCCAATCGAAATCTTTTGGTTCCACTTGCTAAGCTCCTTCAGTTATAAGTAGTTCATTTATAATATCCAGCTGCCACAACACCTTAGCAAACTCAAAATAACGTACCAGATATAAATGTCTACATATGGATTTAGATATAACCAATTATGAACCATAAAAATAATACCAACAAATCAAAAAGATTTCTCAATTTGAAGCAAAGCTTGGGTGAAAATCAAGTTTTTCTACTGAGTCACTTAGAAATAGAAGAATTAGCCATGATATCAACATTTTCTTAAAGAATAAAGCTAAATATCTCAGGGGCTATCTTTATTACTGCAAACATCGATTTGGGATTTCAGTTAACCCCTGAAAAACTTGGGATTGAACTGTGGGCATCGACAATATGCGAATTTTTCCAGGTGGTGTGTGTCCAGTAAACATCCAAGTTTTCCAAGGGTCAACCTCAAGATCAGGAATCAGCTTCTGCAAATGTTCCAATGCAAGCAAACTTGAGGCTTTCTCACCCACTCATTATTTAAGAGTCAAGTGCATATTTTTTTGTAACCATGGGGGTTGCAGACTTCTAATCTCTCATTCTGTGTTTTATACCTGTTACTGAAGTTCTCTTCATCAACTCAACTCTGAGATGAGATGGTTCCTTTCCTATCTAGTGCTTTCTTGCACTAGTTTTTTTTAGCTCAGTTCTTTAGCTTCTAGTTCCACACTGTTCACTTAATTACCCAACCCTGTACCCTCCCCCTCAGGTACCCAGACTTCAATAGAACAGCATTGTGTATTTTGCTCCAGCTACCAGAAATACAGTCCTTGTGCACTTGGTTGTTCAAATATTTCCAAAAATTCCCTTCCTACAAGGGTGAAGCTTTCACACTCAACCCCTTGTCCTACCAAGACCATTTAGTGCTCCAGGGGAAATATAAGGTGCTAAAGACAACCCCTCCCTGCCAACAGGAGGCCCTCTCCCAGGGTCTGGCTGCCTCTCCACTTTCATGTCCCCCAAATCTCTGTCACTGCACTGTGAGCATATACCAAGGCTTACCTATCCCTTGAACTTCTGATGGATGCTTTGTTTTCAGGGTTTTGGCTGTTAGAAATAACACAACTCATAAGTATTTGGGTGTATGTGTTTTGGAATAAATGTCTGAATGTGGGTGAACTATGGTGTCTGAGAGCATGTCAGCAGGCACTATGAGTCTTTTCAGCACACCTGTAGAAAAGCTTGAAAATTTTAATATATTCTGACTCACGTTTATTGCTTTCCTTCCTCATGGCTAATATCCATTTTGGATATGCTTACCATCCAGTTAACTCCTTTGTGATCTATTGGGTTGACCAAAAAGCTTGTTTAGTTTTTTTTCATCAAATATAACACACATTTTTCATTTTCACTACTAAGTTGATGGATTTGGATATGCTGATATGACAGCTGTCACAATACACCCTGCCAAAATTGTTTCAAATGAAGACAGCTAAGCGCTACTACAGCCTCTAATGAAAAAAATGCAAATAAATTTTTTGGCCATCCCAGTATCTACTTAAATGTCTTCTCTGTGAGTCTTTGAAATGTAAAAATTGACTATGCTTTTTCTGTAAAAGTATTTCATTGTATATTCCTTTGTTCAAAGTTTTAATTTACTGTAACAATTAATCAATGTTTATCTTCTGAAATTGTGCAATTGGTTGGTCATTTGCTAAGTAGAGCATGTATGAGTGTGACCAAGGGGCACTTGTCGCTTACTTGTAACTGCCATGAGCCCTCCACGTGCTGAACCTCAGATCCTATGAAAACAATGGTTGGATTTCTCACTCACTTTGTTCACCTTTTCCAAGGAATGCATTGTGAGGGACTCATCATCAATCCAAGAACATTCCAGAATGCAGGGAAATGTAAGAAGGCAGGACAAGCAGGCCAGCAGATAGAATAAGTGACCTCAGAGCCCTGCAGGAGTGTGAAGCAGGAAGATCCAACACACTGAGCCCAGAGGGAGGAAGTCTCTCCACTCTCAAAGCAGATAACTGCATGCCACTAGGGAGGTGTGGAAAGCCCCAAACCCTAGCAAAGCCTACTAAATAGTCCAAAATTGAGACAGAAGACAGCTTACCTTCCTGAGTGATCCACATGTGAGGTGCACGTCCAGGGACACAAACACAGTCTCTGCAGGATTCCTGAGCAATTTCTGGCACCAAAGGAACATCATGTCTTCGTGGCTGATGGTGAACCTTGCACAACCATAACACCTGGGAGTGAAGAGAAATCACAAGCACATTTGAAAAACGTACTCAGAAGCTAACGCAACAGACTGCAGGTTCTCAAATACTGATTCTCTGGGTGAAGTGTGCATGTGGCCAAGGGGCCGCTGTCCCTCTCTCCTGCCTGCCCTGGCCATCCATCCACGTGCTGGACCTCAGATCCGATGAGAACGACGGTTGGAGTTCTCACTCATTTTGTTCAGCTTTTCCAAGGAATGCATTGTGAGGGAGTCATCATCGATCCGAACACGCTCTGGGATGCTGTGGAGTTGACCAGGATGGGCTGGGAAGACCACTGTGTGAGGCAACAACCTGAGACCCTCAATGCAGGGGAAAATCAACCCACTGAACAAGAACAGTCAATCCACTCTTGAAAGATGCCTATCTGTATATGGCACATATACATATCTGTATATGCCCCATATACAGATAGATCACATCTAGCAAATCTATGAAGTCTAAAGTGATGGTAATGAACTGGAACAGAGGCAATCTTACCTTCCTGAGCGATCCACATGTAAGGGGCACACGCAGGGACACTCTCCTTCCAGGACTGTCTAGCATATCCAGTCACCACAGAAAAGAAACAGTAGTCTCTTCATGGTTGACACCAAGCCTTGCACGGAAACCCGACCTGGGAAGTGTAGAGAAATAACATGCACATTTCAGTGAGCAATGCACCCATTTTCTCAGGTAATATGACCTTTACCAACCTTTCCCCCAGCTAGGCCTCACACTGGTCTGTCATGCACCTCTGTCTCTTACTAGTGATGCAGGTTTGTGTGACACCACACAGCTGACAGGTGTGTGAGGGTGACGAAGGGGCAGCTGTCCCTCCCTCCTGCCTGTCCTGGGGCCCTGCATGTGCTGGACCTCAGATCCGATGAGAACGACGGTGTGGAGTTCTCACTCATTTTGTTCAGCTTTCCAAGGAATGCATTTGAGGGAGTCATCATCGATCCGAGCACATTTCGGCCCGCTAGATTACTCAGCAGGTTTGCCTAGGGGCTCATCCGGTAAGGCAGTAAGTTCTACGTCCTGCAGCATCCTCGGGCACCCAGATCCCAGCAACTGAGCAAGAGGGTCACTACTTCCACTCCTGGAGGGAAGCCCCATGTGCCATGCAGGACACCCAAACACAAATCTTTAAGTAATTCCAGAGCTAACATCTCTGGACTTGGAGAAGAGCAATGCTTACCTTCTCCAGTGATGCCTGAACATGGTGCACACTCATGGTCACACCTCCCCTAGGATTCCCAGGGACCCAAGTCATCCAGGAACAGAGGTCTTCATTTCTTTACTGATGAAGAGCCCTTGTACTGCAGCTATGCCTGAGAAGGGGACAAAAAACACATGTACATTTGAGTAATGTACCCAGGTCATCAGAAAATTAACCCTGCCACCCACTCCCCCTTAGCAGGGCTTGCACCTGACTGTCCCCGAGGTATACAATGTAAGGTGGATGTGATGGCATGCATGCAAGTCAGTCTGTAAATATGTTGTGTGTGTTCAATGGAAGGGGCCTCCTGATCTGGACCAGTGAGCCCTGGGCACTGATGCCTGGCCACACGCCATGCTTCCATGGAAGATGACCTAGCTCCTCAAAAACAAACATGCAAACTTTGACTTCACTGAGCTGCTGAAATAGGCCATCAATTTCCTCTCTATGTGCAGCCGTGACTGAAGTAAGCACAGCCACTTCCCACATACTCTCTTACTGACCACATGTGAAATAAACTGAGAAGTTTGGTCTCCACCAAATTTGCAAATGAATTGTCCTTGATAGAATCACAGCAACTACTACAAAAACCCAAATACACTGACACAAAACCTTGTACCATTAGCATACCTGCTACAGGGCCAAAGTACTCTCTCTTAACATGAAGTGGCCAAGAGGCATTAGTCCAGGCACATATGTGTACGAAAGGTCTAAGCGGAACAAACAGGAATCAGAGGGGCATCAGTGATCTCCACCCACCTGACACAGAACAAAACCGAAGTGGAACTGGGCTGCAAGGACATACACAGACAAGGTGTACCCTGACTATGGGGTTTCAGAGTGTGACCCCTCCCCCTCAGCACAGGAATGTCGCCATGACCACTCTTGAGATCTAGGGAAGAATCCACAAACCAGGAGAAAGAATTAAAATATGACATGTCTTCCAAGACTACTATTTCTGCACATGACTACTTTCCAATGTAGAAATTTATGCACAGGAGTCCACACAAGACCACAGTGCCTGAAGCCACTGTCCCGCCCACACTCACTGGCCTGCCCACAGGCTTCCATTGTAAAATCTCAACTCCTCTGAATAAAAGGGAAGATAACAGTACCGAAAATGTAGCAACCTCCCAGATGGGACTTTGGCTTGGGAGGCTCCCCACCAATGAACACAAGGACAAAAAGGATGTTGGCCAACACATTTAATTCAAAGAAGGCTGAGCAGCAGCCATGGGCTCGTAGGACTGTTACGGGGTACTGGAAACAAACTTACTAATGCCACAATTCTAGACTGGAAATGGAAAGTATACACGGTTGGTCACTAGTGTCCCCCACAAGATCCCTGAAACCTTGGCCAGTAGGCACAAAACGCATGGCCCTGATGGCTCTTGTACTATGTAGGCATCTCCCATAGCTCCTACAGAGTTGAACTACAGGAGATGCCTACATAGTGTTAGCACCTAATTGTCCCTCTGTCCCTGTCCCAGGGTGGCTTCACTATCCTCAGGAGCCAAAGAGAAAAAAACAGGTTCCACAGTTGCAAGATTCGGGCGTTTATCAGAATCTGTGACTGTTTCTACAAGCAGGAAACCCAATGGCCACCACATGAGAACTGACACATTCACCCCATGGTCTCCTGGGGCCTGTCGGGACTAGAATATGTGCTGGCTCACCGACAAGACAGAAAGAGCAACAATTCACCCAAACACCACCCTTCATTCACACCAGAATAAGGCCTTGTAAACTCTCACAGGCAGTAAAAGGCTCCCTGAGGCTTATGTCCTGAATAGAGGGTGCATGAGAGACCACTGTCTCTTCTTTCCTGCCTGACCTGGGCCTCTATGTGCTGGACCTCAAATCCAATTAGACTGATGGTTGGAGTTCTCACTCATCTTGTTCAGATTTCCCAAGCAATGATTCGATCCAAACATGCTCTGGGATGCAGGAAAATGAAGGAAGGCAGAACAGACAGGCCAGTTGGTAAAACCAGTGACCTCGTCCCCACAGGAGCGAGAAGCAGGCAGACCCAAGTCACCGAGCAAGCAAGACACTCACTCCATTCTGGGAACAAATCTCTGGGTGCCACCATGGACATGTGGACAAGCCACCACTCTACTGAGTCCATTAAATACTAAATAGAAGGACAAAATAAAAGTATGAAAAACACTTACCTTTCTGAGCAATCCACGTGTAAGGTGCACACCCCGGGACACACTCTCTCCAGACCCCTCTCACAACTCTGGCCATCAAAGGAAACGCAGGTCACAAATGACAGCGAGCCTGGCACAGCCACCCCACCTGGAGAGTGTACAGAAATCACGCACACGTTTGAGAAATACACTCAGAAACTAACACAATGAACGTATAGACAGTAATTCAACAGGCTCGCAAGTTAAAGCTCTGCGTGGAGCGTGCCTGAATGTGACCATGGGGCAGCTGTCCCTCTGTCCTGCCTGCCCTGGCCCTCCACGTGCTGGACCTCAGATCCGATGAGAACGACGGTGTGGAGTTCTCACTCATTTTGTTCAGCTTTCCAAGGAATGCATTTGTCAAAGTCATCATTGATCCAAGCACGTTCAAGGCTGGACAACTTAGTAAGGTTGGCTGGGCAGTTCATTCAGTGAGTCAATGACCTCACCATCCTCTACTGGCCCAGAGGATCCAGATCCCAGTCACTGATCAAGAGAAACGTGTAGTTCACTCTTGGAGGGGCATCCCACGAGCCACTGAAAATGCCCAAAAAAGCCACCACAATAAACTCAGAGAGCAGTTGCCTGAATTTAGAAGCAGAAAAATGCTTACCTTCCCACATGCCGGCAGAAATGATGTGCACGCAGGGCCACACCTCCTCTGCAAGCACCAGGGACCTCCAGTCACCTAGACAGAGAGAGGTCTTCCTTCTCTTCACTGACAAAGACCCTTGGCGCTGCAGCTCTGCCTGAGAAGGGACGGAAACCATATGTGCATCTGAGTGATGTACCCAGGTGTTCAGGTAATTAATCCTTGCCATCCCCTCCCTGTCAGTGGACCTGGAATCTGAAAATCACCTACTTCTGTCCCTGAGGAATGACTGAAGCAGGTTTGATACCATACATGAATGTTCCTTTGCAAACACAGTTGCACATGATCATGGGCAGAGGCCTGCTCATCTGAAGAACTGAGCCCTGTATGGGAACCCTGGACATACTGTAAAAGTTAGGGATGGCCAGCAGCAGATTCTGGCCACAAGCTCAAAAAGATAAAACTGACTTCACGCACCTGCTAAAGTATGCCAGGACTCCCTCCCTAAAAGGAGTCCGGTACACAAATAGACTTGCGAGTCTATGTACAAGTACAAACTCTTAATAACCAAAATGTGAGATCGGCTTAGCCATTAGGTCCCTAAAACTGTCACATGTGACTCATCTTTGATAACGACACAGCAACCACTACAATGAAGATGCCACCAACACAAAGCCTCTCATGACAGGCAATCCACCTGCAGCATGACAGCAGCCTGTCCTCATCCCCAGAAGCCCAGTGATACCAGGACGGGCACCTGTCTGTGCTAACTCAGCCAGATGCCCTCTGGGACGCAATAGGGCTCTGGAGAGAAATTTGTGCTCCTCACCTCCTGGGAATCCAAACAAAAGCCCAGTCACAACTAGGCCCCACGCTGACCGAAAGACACTGCACACCTTGACACTGTGGGACTCAAAGTGACCTCTGCCTCCCTGAACACGAAGACACTACTCACAGCCTCACAGGGCCCCTGGGCAAGAAACCTGAGGACAGAGGCAGGGTTAAAAATGATACTTCCCCCAAAGACTCGAGCACATTTTCCAAGGCAGAAATCTGTCCATAGCTCTGTGTCTGGTCCCTCAGTGCTCTGTGTCTTGGCCACGACCTCAGGCTGCTACTGTGGGGACCATGGTGCCTCTAGGAGAACCGGACTGCCTGGGCCGGAGAAACAGCAATGTCCTGAAGTAGCCCTGTGACCTAGATACTCCCAGCTGAAGTGCACAGAAAATGGTGGAGACACTGTGAAAATTAGGGATGGCCAGCAACAGTCATGGGAAGTAGCCCTTTTCAACGTTACTAAAAAAAAAAAAAGAAACTACTAAGAGTCATGCCTCTGCATTGGGAATGCTAAGTGAGCACGGTTGAGAAGCCACAGTACCACGCTCTAACAACAGACGGTGCCCTGCAGGAAGCCCACGAATATCCTTTTCAGATGTTCGTACCGCTGAGACCCAATGATGAAAGGTGACAGTAGAAACACTGGGGATGGACATCTGTGCCACGGACGACCAGAGAACCAGAGTTAAGACCTGTCTTCCTGATGTCCTACTATTCCACTCAAGGTCATTAGCCATCACCACCTCTGTATTTCAGAGCTGCGCCCACAACAAAGTACATGGTTGGCCACTTGGCATGTGGACTGGGAGAAGAGTGGAGTAGAAGAGCTGCCAACTTCACACAATGGCCCAACTGTCCCTCTGCCCACACCCCAAATACCGTGGTGGCTTGGTTATCGCCTGCATACCACAGGGAATAACAAGTATCCAGATTGCCAGGCCCAGGGACCTAAGGAGAAATCACGGAGGCCTCTGACCTTTGGATCTACCAGAGAGACCCCCAAGGGCTACAGCTGAACGAGGAGCCAGCCCAGGACATATCCAATGCATGATCTCAAAGGGCCTGTACCAGAGCCAAACATTTTCACAACTAAATGACCAACCATTCACCAAAATCCATCCATCGCAATAAACACCCAACTAGAGACATGAAAATCCTCATGTTCAGTAGCAGGCTCTCTGACGCTGGTTTCCTGGGTAGTACATGCATGAGTGTGACCAAGGACCAGCTGTCCCTCACCTGTGACTGCCCGGAGTCTGCTGCATTCTGCATAACAGATCTGATGAGAACAACAGTTGGAGTTCTCACTCATTTTGCTCAACTTTTCCAAGGAATGCACTGTTGAGGGGGTGATCTTTGATCCGAGCACGCTCTAGGATGCAGGGAATGTAGGGAAGGCAGGACGGGCAAGCGGGTGTGTAAAGCAGTGACCTCAGAGCCCTGCAGGAGCATGAAGAAGGGAGATCTCAGTCACTGAGCAAGAAGGACATTCTCCATTCCCGAAGCATTTCCCCACATGCAACTGGAGGTATGTGAAGGTGCCAGCACTCTAGTGAGTCTATTAACTACTAAATAGGAAGGCAAAATGCAGCACAGAGAAAATCTTACCCCCGTGAGGAATTCAACGTATAAGATGCACACCCAGAGACATGCTCCCTCCAGGACTCCCGAGCACCTCCGGTCAGCAAAGAAAGTCCTGTCTTCCTGGCTGATGTCCAGCTTTTCCCAGCAACAGGACCTAGCAAGTGTACAAGAAATCACATGCACATTTCAGCAACATACTCAGCAATTAAGACAATGAAAATACAACAGTAAGACTTAAGTTCTGAAATGCTGATGCCCGGGGTGGAACGTGTGTGAGTGTGACTGAGGGGCCGCTGTCCCTCTCTCCTGCCTGCCCTGGCCATCCACGTGCTGGACCTCAGATCCGATGAGAACGACGGTTGGAGTTCTCACTCATTTTGTTCAGCTTTTCCAAGGAATGCATTTTGAAGGAGTCATCATCGATCCGAGCACGTTCTGGGACACAGGACACTTGGGAAACACAGCCTGGGCAGCCCACCTACTGAGCCAGTCAACTCAGCATCCCAAAGCAGTTTGGAGAACCCAGATCCCAGGCACTGAGGAAGAGGGAAAAGTCCATCCATTTGTAGAGCAGAACCCTGAATACCTGAGGACACGCACAAAGGCGGCCTGCAGCACACGTATTAATCCTTCAAACGAAGGAAAGAACAAGGCAGACAAAAACGCCTACCTTTCTGAGCATCCTGAGCACCCCGAGCACCCCACAGGTGTGGAGCACAGCGTGGGACCACTCCTCCAGAACACCGAGCACCTTCCTCCATCGAACGACATGGTGGTCTCTTTGTGGTGACTGCGAGTCTTGCATAACAGCTCCACCTGAGGGTATAGAGAATTCACAAACTTTAGAAAAATATTGTGATTCTGAGACACAAAGTAAGTTCCATTCCTAACCATCCCACGGGGAGTTAACCTTGTATCTCCCTGTCATGCACCTCTGTCCCTTAGGAGTCAATGTAGGCATATGGGACACCATGAGAAAAGGAGGTAGGTGTACCAAGTGGGCATGCATGTGGTCCTGACAGAGGACACAGCTCCTGAACAAGTACACCTGACTCCCAGATACCTAGCTTCTAGCCCTGCTTCTACTCAAAAACAGAAGACACAGTCTTCAAAAGACCTGTTGCAAGTCCTGTCCTCCAGGCCCTTCTGAAATAGTCAACAGCTTCCTTCTCTCACAGCCACTCCTTCTGAACACATCACAGTGATTGGACATACACCCTCTTTCTTCCTGTGGATGTGATATCAACTGGACATTACATTCCCACAAGCTACCAATGGTAAACAACACTTGATGAAGAGACAGCAGTGGCACCTCCTGCAAGTTGCCTTAGTACTATGTGGCCAAAAGAGTTCAGGCCAGGGGAAGCTTTGAGCCAACTAACCTAACTCCACACCTGAACATGCAGGTACTGGAGAGGAATGGCTCCTTTTCCCCAACCATGACCTGTGGTAACATCCGGCTGAAACTAGGGCACTAACAACCGAGAACAGGACATTTCCCTATCCATAAAGATTCAACACCCCAACCTTCAAGGAATCATTGAACTCTTGCCTGCCTTGACCACAAGAACCTCCCATGACAGCTGGATACATCCCCCGACAAACAGCTAGAGTCACTATACCCAAGGATGGCGCCGTGAGTGTCAGATACCAGACATTCAACCTGTGACTGATCCATCAGCTAATACTTACTCAGAAAATCTGATGAAGTTGAAATATACCATTCTTGAAGAAGAATACTAAAACTAAATTAAAACACATCCACTATTGAAAAGACACAGGCCTCTTCCAAGGAGGCAGACCAACACAGCAGCAGCAGCAGCAGCAGCACACCTGACATCCGAGTGCATCTCTGCCACGCCCACAGCCTTTCTTGTAAGGTCTAAACCACCTCAAGCAGGTGTAAGACACCTGTGTCAGAAAAATCAGAACCCTCCCTGGAAAGTACCCAGACCTTAAAATCTCAGGCATTCAGCAAAGCACAGTGTTGAAAGCGATGTTTGCCTATGCATAACAGGCGGGACAGCTGGCTATCCTCGGACACTAGACCTCCTCAAGGCACTCATAGGAGACCAACAGAGTGACATGACCCTGGACTGGAGATAAAAAGAGAACCACCTTCCCCCACCAGTGTCATCTGTAGTGGCGTTGAACCTTCCCTGGGACACAATCATCAGCAGCGCCCTTAGGGCTGAGAAAAAGTCCTGGGAACCCAATGTAAATCCTACAGCAATGGGAGAAACTATGTCCCCGAAAGGATCCCACAGATCCACAAATCCACCTGTGCTTCAGGTGACTCTTCCTTCCTGCCCAGGTCATCAGTCAGGCCAGAGCGTGGAACACAGCACAGACCATCTCTATGGCCATGTTGTGGTCCATGCAAGTCTATGGAAGATAGGCACTTCCAACAAAAACAGGAGGCCTAATCATTGGTATTTAATTAACCAAAGACCACGGGGCATTCAAAACTTCTCAGCAAGCCAAAGATAAGAACAGTATGTCCCCTGAAGCCTAGGGACCTAATCAGGACCAATAGGAGCTCAGGCTCTTTGGCACCAAAATACAGATGGTCAGATCTATGCCTTCAGAGGGGGCCTAACCAACACAGACCCATGGCATAAGCTCACTGGGCCTAGAGCAACACCACACTCTTCATCACTAGGACTGAGTGGGTGGAGGGCCACCATGCCAACAAAGACTGGGCGTTCAAACCAGAACCCTTGATTCACGGACACCTAGCCACTGATACTCAGTCTCAGAGGGAAGGTGCTCAAGGCTGATGTACTGGGTGGTGTGTGCAGAAATGTGACTGAGGGGCACCTATCCCTCATGCTAATAACGGTTCCTGCGGCCCTCCACGTGCTGGACCTCAGATCCGATGAGAACGACGGTGTGGAGTTCTCACTCATTTTGTTCAGCTTCCAAGGAATGCATTTTGAGGGAGTCATCATTGATCCGAGCACGGTCTCAAAGCTGGAAAACTTAGCGAGGTGGCTCTGTGGGTTAGAGTCCTCCAGCGGCCTGCAGGATTTAGATCCCAGCCACTGAGAAGTGCACTCAGTACACTCTGTGGGGAACCCCGTGGACCCTTCAGGACAGCCAAACAAGCCACCTTGAGCAGCTCTAAGGAACATAAGAGCAGCTGGCTAAATAGGAGTGGGGAAATGCTTACCTTCCCTCATGTCTGCAGGGATGAGGCTCACTGAAGGCTGTACCCCCTCTGTGACCCCCAGAAACCTCTGGTCATCCAGGCACGGAACACTCATCTCTTCCTGGCTGAGGAAGACCTTTGCACTGACACAGCACCTGAGATGGGGACAGAAATCAAACGCACATTTGAGAAATGCTACTGGGTCCTCAGGTCAACTGTTCCCAGGGGTAAACCTTACATCTGACAGCCACGCACTTCTGTCCCTGAGGTATAACAATGGCAGGTGTGGAACCAAGTGTGCATTATGAACATACTACTCGTAGGCCAGGCTCCCTGAATTAAACAGCAAGCCCCGTGCTTGGACCCCTGGCCACACAACCAACCTCCCACACCAAAGGAAGACCCTCTTCCTCAAAAAAGAAATGTTAAAAAGGTTTACCTCATAGGGCTATGAAAATAGGCCAATGACTCCAGCAATTAGAGCCCCTCTTACTGAACCAAACCACGGGCTCTGATTCAGTGTGCACACTGTTTGTGACCACTGGTATGATGTGAACAGTGGACCCGATACTGCGTCCCACAATACTGTCCACCTGACAGCACTGAAGGGACCCCAAAACCACAGCAGCACTGAAACAAGGCCAGGCACCCAGAGTAGGCCCCTACAAGGCAGAAAGGGCCTTCCTCATATTAAATGGCCAGCCCCCAGAAGGCAAGGCACCCGTTTGTGCAAACTAATCTCAGGACCTTTGGAAGGACAAAAGGAAAACATTAATGATTTTCCCAGCCATGACTCATAAAAAAACCCCCAACTTAACAAGGCAAAAGAATAGACCAGAGACAGCATGTGGGCTGACTGTACAGGATTCAAAGTGTAGCCCATTGCTCAGCATGAAAACCCAAAACACAACCTCGTAGAGCTGGAAAACTTCATCAGCAAAAACAGGAGGAGAAATTAAAATATGCTGCATCTTCTGAAGCAGGACCCGTGAACTTTTCCCAAGCTACAAATAGACGCACACCGGTGCACACTGAATAACCGGGTTGCCCATGGCCCTGCCATGCCCAGAGACTTCCACTGACACACCTCACACTCTCTGGGCATAACAGGAAACACCAGTGCTCAGAATACAGCACCTTCCCAGTAGCACCCATCCTTGCAAGATCCACGTCAAGGGGCAAAGGTGTGAAGGGAAAACTGATTAACTCGTTCAAATCAGGAATGACTGGAAGTGACCATGGGCCAGTCAACCCCTTACCAGAAACTATAGAGGAGAAACAAGGACACACCTATGCTGGTCTGGAAACATGAGTCCACAACGGTCAGGAACCACAGGGCCCCACTCCGGAACGCTCAAGGCTTCCGGGGGAGATACCACTATGTGTCTCTCGGTGGCTCAAAGAACCCCAAAAATCTGACAAGGATAACTTTGGCTGCATCAAAACAAAACATGGCAGCACTTCCCAGGCAAACCCACAGAACCAACTAAAACCTGTCCTCTCTGAGACTCCCTGTTCCTTCCCAGGCCATGAGCCACCACTGTGGTTGTTCCAGAGCTTTGCCCACAGTACAAATCCTGGCTGACCACTCTGCATGACAAATGGGTCAGTACTTGAATGAGAAGAGCTGCCAACTACAGTCCCGCTGTCCCCACCCCTGGTCACAAGGTGGCTCCAGTGTCCTCACAAGGTCTGAAGGCAACAGCAGATTCGCAGTGAGCCAGGCATGGGGCTCCAATCAGCCAGCCTGAGAGCTTCTGCTCTTCATCCCCACACACAACCCCCAAGGGCTACCTCTGAAACAAGAACCTGGACAAGATACATGCAGGCCAAGTTGTGAGCAAGTCCACACCATAGCCACACAACAACAAGAGTCATTACCGTGACAAGAGGAAAACCTTAGCAATTGATCCAAACACTACTTACTGATTACAAACCACAAAGTAATGCCACAAAAATCCTGACCATCAGTAGGATGTGCTCTTATGTTCATATGCTGGGAAGAGGGTGCATGAGTGTGAACAGGGGGCAGCTGTCCCTTACTTGTGAATGCCCTGGACCCTCCATGTGCTGGACCTCAGATCCGATGAGAATGACGGTTGGAGTTCTCACTCATTTTGTTCAGCTTTTCCAAGGAATGCATTGTGAGGGAGTCATCATTGATCCGAGCACACTCTGGGGCGCTGTGAAATTGACCATGGTGGGCTGGGCAGACCACCCTGTAAGTCAATGACCTGAGACCCCCAGAGCAGTGGAGACTCAGGACCCCAGTTACTGAGCAAGAGGAAGAATCAATCCACTCTTGGAGGGGACACCACAGGGCACACGAGGACAGACCGTGTAAAAGTCTACTGAATCTGAAGTGATGATCATGAGCTTGAACAGAGGAAAGCTTACCTTTCGGAGGGATACGGACACATGGGGCACCCAGGGTCACACTCCCTCCAGGACTCCCACAGAGCTCTGGTCATCGAAGGAAAGAAACAGTCTTCTCTTCACAGCTGACTGCGAGCTTTCCATGGCCACCCCACCTGGGAAGTGTAGAGAAATCACATGTGTATTTGACTAACTCATCCAGGTTCTCAGGTAAGATCCATGCCCACCTTGCCCCAGGTAAGCCTCACATCTGTCTGTCAGGCACCCGTTCCTCAGAAGTGTCTGCAAGCGTGTGTCACACCAAAATGGTAGGCAGGTGTGCAGGTGTGTGTGCCTGTGCTTATCACTCAGGACTCTGTATTTAGACAAGCTTGGCCTCAGCCACACCCCTAGATTCAGGGCCTGATCTCAAGGGAAAGAGATAAATTTTCAAGTGAATGGCTGCAAAATCTGAAATCCAGGCCCTTGTAAACTGGTCTACAGACTCCTCCTCTCACAGCCCCTCTTGAAGGCATCCGAGTGATTCCTCACACACCCTCTTGCTGACAGTGGCTGTGGTGTCAATCTGGACACTGTGTGCAACTGGTTACAGATAACAGAGGGAAGAGAACCCCACGACCTCTGGAAATAGAAATCCACCTACATACATGTGGAAACAACGGTACAAAAGAGCAGTGGAGAATCAGGATCCCAGTCTCAATGGTCGGAAACCATGACATGCGACTCAAGGACACAGACTCACTGGCAGGCACCCAAGGCACACCCAGAGAGGCAGACCTGAGTCACTGAGCAAGACGGACAGTCACTCCATTCTCGGAACAAGTCCCTGTGTGCAGACAAGGACGTGTGGACACCCGCCACTCTAGGAAATAATAAATACAAGGGCAAACAAGGGTCGGAGGCAATCTTACCTTCCTGAGGGACCCATGTGTATGAGGAACACCCAGGGACAAACTTCCTACAGGACTGTCGAGCACCTCCAGTTGATAAAGGAAACTAAAGGCAGGTTGTCTCTTCAAGGCTGACGACAAAACTTGCGCGGCCACCACACCTGGGAAGTACACAGAAATCACATGCGTGTTTGAGAAATGTACTCGGCAACTAACACAATGAAAATACAACACTGACACTGGAGGTTCTGAAATGCGGACACCCGGGGTGGAACATGCAAGAGAGTGACCGGGGACAGCTGGCCCTCTCTCCTTCCTGCCCTGGGCCTCCACGTGCTGGACCTCAGATCCGATGAGAACGACGGTGTGGAGTTCTCACTCATTTTGTTCAGCTTTCCAAGGAATGCATTTGAGGGAGTCATCATCGATCCGAGCACACTCTGGACGGTAGAAAATTGAGCAGGGCCAGCTGTCTACTGACTGGGTGAGCCAAAAATTTCAGAGTCCTCCACTTGCCAAAAGGATCAAGGTCCAAGGCACTCAGCAAGAGGGTCACTTGTGCCTCATGCTACTGGGGAAAACAGAATGACTTGACTGTGTCAGCTCTAAGATATCAGAGAGCAGACACTGGACACGGAGCAGACAGACACTTACCTTCCAGAGGGATCCCCCGGTGCAGTGCGTATGCACGGCAACACAGCTGCTCAGCCTCCTGGGCACCTCGGTCATCTAGGGCCAGAACGAGCTTGCTTTACTGGCTGAGGAAGGACCCTGCACAGTGACTCCACCTGAGTAGTGGACAGAAAACATGTGCATGTTTGAGAAATAAATACAGGTTTTCAGGTAATTAATGCATATCACCCTCTCCATTTTGTCGATCTAGCATGTGATTGTCAACCAGTCCTGTCCCTGAGGAATGGCTGAAGTCATGTCTGTAGGTAGGTCTGCGGTATGTTGCATGTGTGTGGGCAGAGGCCTCCTCAATGGAACGAGCAAGCCCCAAGCTGAGATCACAGGCCACGTGCCTTGACTCCCAATAATAAAGAAACCATGTTTCTTAGAAACAACACAATCTGCCCTCCTGGGGCCTCTGACACAAGCCAAGGAGGTCCTTCATCACAACCGCTACTTGTCAGCATAGCACAATGATTCCAAAGGCACTTTTAGATTGAACGTCTACACTGACATTTCAGACATAAGACTCTCACAAGGGAACCAAAGCCGATGGACACACAAAGATCACGGAACACACCAAGCAACAATCCAGAATCTGGCCCCATGTGCACAGGTGATACACTCCAAAGGACCCTGTCATCAGTGAAAGTGGCCCAGTGACCTCAGGCCTGGCTCCTATTGCTGCGAACTAAAACAAATGCCCTCTGCGGACAAGATGAAACCTGAGGGATAGTCATGGTCTTCACGACACATGACTGAGATCAGTAACCCATTCAAACGAGGCTGGAAATTTGTCCCAGGGTACTGCACATATTGAGCCCCCAGGACTGAAGTGAAACTGAACCCTCAGCCTACGAGCAGGACCTGTGAGGTCCCGGAGCTCCACTACTCCACCCACAAGACAGGACAGACAACTAAAGGCAACACACGTCTTATGAACAAAGACACAGGAACACTTCCAGTGTAGAAATGTGTCCATGGCTGTGCACGTGGTCCCTTAGTGCGCACAGTGCCTTCCATGCCTACAGAATGCCACTGGGGAGTCAGAACCCTCTGAAGACAGTGAAAGGCAACAGTACCAAGAAAGTGGCACCTGCCAGGTAGCACGGTGACCCAGGAAACTCCCTGCCAAAAAGGAAAAACAAAACAAACAAAAAAAAAACTTGGCACCTGCCAGGTAGAATGGTTACCCAGGAAAATCCCTGCCAAAAAGGAAAAGGACAAAGGGAATGTTGGCCAACTCATTCAAACTAAGAATGGCTGGTGTCATCCATGGACCAGGGGACCTCTTATAATAAACTAAAAGACAAAACTACAGATACCACTATGATGAAATGAAGTGTCACTAAACTAAGGCCAGAAACCACACAATGCCGCTTTCAAATACACTGAACCTTCGCTTGGACAAACACACTTTGTATCACTTCAAGGGCCTCAGATGTCTATGAAATCCAATGACTTCGATGGAAAGACAAGGAGACAGGAAGTCTCATGGAAACCCATGGAATGATACTATGACACGTCCTCTCCATTCCTCCCTTCTGTTCCTATCTAGACTGTCAGCCACCACCACACTTGATTTCAGAGCTGCGTGAAGAGCGCGGTCAATGATTGGCAACCTGGCATGTTGATGAGATGCTGAAGCAGAGGGGCTGCCAACACGGCACGAAGGTCCACCCATCCCGCTGTCCCTGCCCTCACTCCCACAGGGGCTCCGAGATCCCCACAGAGCCCAGCCCAAGAGCCAGTATACAGACTGCCGGGACCAGAGATCTAGGGAGAAATCATGCAGGCCTTTGCCCTTTGCCTCAGCACAGAGACTCCCCCCCCAATGCTATACCAGAAGCCGGACTCTTGACGGAACACATCCAGGCCATGGTGTCAAGGGGCCTGTTTCGCAGCCACACTGCATACTCTTGGGACTACAAAATGTGCTTGTTTGCAAGACTCAATCAATGCCTGGCCAGTGATCAAAATCCATCCATCAAATACCTCACCAGAGCTGTGAAATCCTGATACTCAGTAAGGAGGCTCAGAGTCTGAAGTCGTGTGTGGTGGAGCATGCTTGAGTGACCAAGGGGCAGCTGTCCCTGTGTCTTGCCTGCCCTGGGCCGCCAGGTGCTGGACCTCAGATCCGATGAGAACGACGGTTGGAGTTCTCACTCATTTTGTTCAGCTTTTCCAAGGAATGCATTTTGAGGGACTCATCATCGATCCAAGCACGTTTTTCTAAGAAAAAATTTTGGCAAGGCCATCTGGGCTGCTCACTCAGTAGGATCATGAAATCTGCATCACAACCTGGGCCTAGAGCACCCAGGCCCCAGTCTCTGAGCAAGAGACACAGGCAATCCACTACTGAGCAAAAGACACATGCCACTGGGTGACATGTGGACAGGCTGCCTCTGTCTTACAACAAGCTGAGGCAAATAGTAGAATGTAGAACAAAGAAATTCTTACCTTGCTAAGTGATGCAGGACCATGAAGAACACCCCCATGGACACACTCCTCTACAACTGCTGCATAGCACTGCCCATCCCAGGAAAAGAAGGTGGTGTCTTCATGGCTGGTGGCAAGCCTTGCAGAGCTACTCCACCTGGGAAGTGTAGAGAAATCACATGCGCACTTTAGAAACGTACTCAAATACTCATTTAGTGAGATGCTCACCCACGTTTCCCCCCAGGTATGCCTTACATCTATCTGTCATGTTCCTCTGTCCCTTATGAGTGATTGCAGGCATGTGTGACACCCGAAGGCAGGTAGGTTTGCAGGTGTGTGCGCGCATGGTCCTGAGAGAGAACTCAGCTCTTGAGACAATACCCCTTGGGCCCAGAACCCTACCATGACAGGCAAAACCTAACTGACAAGATTCTACCGTAATGCAGAGACTGCTCAATCACAGTAACTCTGGAACAAGTCACACTGCTTGTCACTACACCTCTTCCTGAATGTGAATGTGACATCTGCCATGCCACACCCCCCCATGTGGTGCTACCAATTGTACCCCATGGAATTAGTCTCCCGAGGAGCAAAGCCATAAAGATTTTGCTTTTTCCAAGTCCACAACCTGGCATTCAGCAAGTGACCCAGCCCTTGGCACCTAACAACAAAACTGACCTTGAAAAAGGTCAAGGGTTTCACTCATGAAGGCAACAGCAGGAACTGAAATGAAAAAACACCTTCCTCCTGAAAGAAAAGTGGCCCTTTTTCAAAAAACTCCTGAGTCCCTGGTAGAGCACTTGACAGACAGTGCTCCTACTATGTGCCATGACCGCAGAATTCCAGGGGAAAATCTAAACCATGGGAAGAAAATTTAAGACTGCAATAGCAGAAAATTCGAGCCAGCCAGCAGAAATGCTTTGACCTGAAGACCACCAAACCTTCCTGAGGAAAGTCTGACTATACAAAGTGACATAGGAGCCCACTTGCCAGCTGTAAAAAGCTACAGGACCTCCCCAGGTGCTAGAAACAAAACTATAGGCGCCCTCCTCTGAAATGCAGACATACTACCTACACCACAGCACCACACACAAGTGTCCTTGTCGTCCTGTGCAGACAGCACCTGGCATCCTTCTCAGGGCCTAGAAACATCCCTGGGAAGCGTAATGACCCAAACAAAGCAAATGCGGACAGTCCATCTCATTGAATCACACACCAACCTGTCCAACAGTTGACCTTCCCTTGCTGGGACAAGGAACCAGAAATTACAGAGATACCATGGCCGGGTATCTCAGCTGATTACAGTGTTGTACAGAAACACTAAGGTTGCAGGTTCTATCCAAAAACAGGGCACAGACAGGAATCAACTAATGAATGCATCAGTAATTGGAAGAACAAATCGATGCCTCTCTTCTCCTTCCTCCATAAAATTAACAAGTAAAAGTATTACAAAGAGAGAAGAAACCACAGAGTCTTCAACCTAGTGTTTGGAATGCAGCCCAGTCCCTGGGGACAACAGTGCACTTGGGCTTAGTAAGTACATTTCAAACAGGAGTACCCAAGGGCAACACTGAGGCCTGATTATCTGCAAATTGCTGCAAACATTTTGGAGAAGTCAAAAGGCCTGGGGTCCTCATCGAAAGCAAAAAACTCCGTTATTCAGCAGCGAAGTCGGGCCCTTCAGGAGGTAATTCTGAAGAAAATCCTGGCCAACACATATCCGCGTAACAAGTTAACTAGGCCAAGACCCATGCCACTCTGATGCCTAGGTCTAAAATTATAGAAGCCTATTGCATTAACAAAGACTGGGCATTTAAAACAAGAAGTTTGCATTCAAGGACACCCAAAAGTTGAGGAGAACCCACTGAGCCTCACAAAGATATACTCAAAAGCCACAGAATGGATGGTGCCAGCAACAGTGTGTGGTGAAAAGCAAGCTGTCCCTCACTCTGACTAATCCCTGGGCCCTTCACGTGCTGGACCTCAGATCCGATGAGAACGACGGTATGGAGTTCTCACTCATTTTGTTCAGCTTTCCAAGGAATGCATTTGAGGGAGTCATCATCGATCCGAGCACGCTCTGGGATGTTGGAAATTTAGCAAGGCCGTCAAGAGGGCTCATGGAGTGAGCCATGAGCTCAGTTTCCTCCAACAACCTGCAGGATCCAGATCCCAGCCACTGAGCAAAAGGGACACCAGTCACATGTGGAGAAAAGCCCCACATGCCATTCAGGACGCCCAACAAGACACCTCAGGCAGGTCGGTCTAAGAAATTTAAAACCTAGTAAGGGAACATGGAACAGAGTAACACTTACCTTCATAGTTAATATCCAGGGCTGGTGCACAGTCAGGGCCACATTCCCTAGGGGACTCCCGGGACCTCGTTCATTCACAGAGAGACCTGCATATTTCTGGGCCAGTGAAGAACTTTGTGCTGCAGCTTTGCCTGAAAAGTGGGGAGAAACACACATGCATTTGAGCGATATACCCAGATCCTCAGAAAATTAATTCATGACATCCTCCCCCCTTAGCAGGGCTTGTGTCTGATTGTCACACACTTCTATCCCTGAGGTGTAATGTAAGGTGTGTGTGATGCCATGTGTGTGGGTCAGTCTTCTAATCTATCTCACGAGTCCGTGGACAGATACCTCCTTACCTGAGCCAGAGTACCAGTGAACCCTGGCACCAACAGCGAGCCACACCCCCTCCTGCCATTGAAGGAAGATCCGTTTCATCATTAAAGAGGGAACTTTTGGCCCTATTAGGACCCTAAAATAGACCAAGGACTCCAATTCAATATCCACCCCTTCTAAACAAAATACTGCACATGCCATGTCTGTACATGCTGTACTCGACAGTCCCCATGAATCTGCACTTTGTCCCAAGTGAACTGCCACAGGAGTTCAAATGATAGGACAGGAGTACTTCGGGTCCTCACCCACTGTGACTCAGGGAGTCAGCACCTACAACACTAGGCCACATTCTCTCCAGAAGCCAGACATTTCCCACCCAGACGAATTCAGGGCTCTGACACTCAAGGAAAAATGCAAATGTTAAGGGAACCTTGCTGAATGGCATCTTCCTCCTGGTGGCGCAACACTCTCAATGGAGCCTTGAAAGCCAGGCCACCCTGAGTGGGAGGGACAAGCAGGGAGGGACACTGGTGAAGATTTCTACATTACCTACAGCTTTCCCATGAGTCAAGGTTATGACATCTCCTTTCACATGGGAGCTCTGCTCTTGACATGATGTCCAATGCGCTGTTCACAAAGAGATTCACAACTACACTAGACAATGAATATTGTATTTTATTGCACATAATCTGAAATCTATTCACGGCTTGGTGCAAGGCATGCTGGTGCTCACAGGCTCTACCATGCACACAGGCTGGCACCAAATGTTACCTCCCAGTCCCTCTGATGAAAGGGAACATGCCTACACCAAGCAAACAGTCCCCTTCTGGGGAGAGTGTTGACCTGGGATGCTTTCTACCAGAAGACAAAGGATGAAGAAAACATTAGCTGAGCCATTCAACTAAAGGTGGCCAAATGGCAACGTACGCCCAGGGAACCATTAAAAAATACTCGGAAAAATGATACTGATACCAAGAACTACAACAGAAGGAGTAAACAAAGGTCAGAAACCACAGACCAAATTCAGTTGGGCTGGCATCTTCCCTCTAAGGCACACAGTCTCCACCACAGAGAATACGAGAGGTCCCTGAAATCTGATGACAAAGTTGTTATAGGAGCATGAAGAGACAGTACGTCCCATCGAAACACACCACCACCTGTCCTCTCCAAGACCTTCCCACCCCTACCAGGGTCATGAATCGCCCCGAGGTCTTGATATCAAGGATTGAGGGTGAGTAGTCTCTGGCTGGCTCACTTGCATGGAAAGTGGGTGACTAGCGAATAAGAGGCAAGGCCAACTACTGCCTCCCTTGAAGTTCCTCCCAATCCTATGGTGGCTCAGTTGTTCTCAACTAGACAACAGGCAAGACGGCCTCACCGATGACCAGGATAAGAGCTCTCATCATTCTGATTATACGAAGATCTGCCACAGAAGTGACAGACTTTGGGCTTCACACTCAGAGAACCCAGAACTACATCTGAGACAGAACCCTGGACATGACACGCCCGGGCTGCAGTCTCAGTGGGCCTGTGAAACAGCCACACTGCCCAGTTTTAGAACCAAGATATGTGCTAGGTGAAAGAACAAAATCCTGGACATTCACCAAACATCACGGATTACACACACCCAACAAATGCCTTGGAAATCCTGACAGTCAGTAGGAAGCCCCCTGATGCTGATGCCCTGCATGGTGTGTGCCTGAGTGTGAACAAGTGGCAGCTGTCCCTCTCTCCTGCCTGCCCTGGGCCCTTCACGTGCTGGACCTCAGATCCGATGAGAACGACGGTTGGAGTTCTCACTCATTTTGTTCAGCTTTTCCAAGGAATGCATTGTGAGGGAGTCATCATCGATCCGAACACGCTTGGTGATGCAGCCTAGGCAGCGCAGTTAGTTAGCCAGTGACCTCAGTATCATCTGGTGGCCTGGAGCATCCCCACATACCAGTCACTGGACAGGTGGGATGCCCAATTCCCTTACGGTGCAAACCACCATAACACTGGGACCATATGGACAAGCTGCCTGTCCCATGCCTGTGAGATCCTGAAGCAAATGCACACTGTGGATCAAAGGAAATCTTACCTTCCTGAGGGATCCGCATGTATGGTGCACACCCAGAGGTGCAATGCCTCCAAGTACCAAACGGCTGTCATCATCAAAGGAAGGGAAGGTCACCTCTTCACCACTGACGGCAAGCCTTGCAAGGCATCCTACCTGGGAATAAAGAGAAATCACATGCACATTTCAGTAATGTACTCAGAAACTTAACACAATGAAAACACAACAGTGAGAATGAAAGTTGTCAAATACTGGAACCCTGGATGGTGCATGACTGAGGGGCTACTGTCTTTCCCTCCTGCCTGCCCTGGGCCCTCCATGTGCTGGACCTCAGAACCGATGAGAACGACGGTTGGAGTTCTCACTCATTTTGTTCAGATTTTCCAAGGAATGCATTTTTGAGGGAGTCATCATTGATCCAAGCATGTTCTGGGACGCTAAATAATTGACCAGGGTGGGTGGAGCAGACCACTGTGTGAGCGCCAATGACCTCAGGACACCCCCCCTCCGGAATGCAGTGGAGAATCAGGATCCCAGCCACTGAGCAATAGTAACAGCCAACCCACTCTTAGAGGAAAAGCACGAGACCAACACAGACAGGCCATGTCCAGCAGGTCTATGAAGTCTAAAGTGATGATAATGAATGGGAACAGAAACAGTCTTACCTTCCTGAGGGATCCACATGCATGGGGCACAAACAAGGACACTCTCTCCAGGATGCCTGAGCACCTCTGGTCATCAATTGAAAGGCAGGTCACATCTTCATGGCTGACGGCGAGCCTTCCATGGCCATCCCACCTGGGAAGTGCAGAGAAACCATACGCACATTTGAGAAACTCTTCCAGACTCTCAGTTAACAAAATTCATGGCTACCTTTCCCCCAGGTACTCCCTGCCCATCTGTCACGCACTTCTGTCCCTTGGAGGTAACTGCTCGCAGGTGTGACGCCGTAGTAAGGCAGGTATGAGGTGCGGGTTTGCATGGTCCTGACAGGAGACTCAGCTCCTTAACGTATATCTTGGACCCAGATCCCCTAAATCGTGCTCAGCTTCTCAGAAACAGAAAATGAGGACTTGAGAGGAAGCAAGTACACAAACAGGGAACATTCCCTGAAAGTCCACAGACTCTTTCCTTCTGTCACAGCTACTCCTTCTGAACAAGCACGCTGACGGTACTCACACCTGTGCCATGCATGTGGATGTCAACTTGAGGCATTTCATCCATGCACAAAATGAGCGATCAGTTAAATCACACTGGCAAAACCACCCACGCACAGGTGACACCATTGGGACCTGACAGAAGTAGCCTTGCCTTAGTCTTCAGTGGCCAAATGAGTTCATGTCAAGCAACTGAACCTCATTTTCCTTTGGTCGCCAAGTAACTAGACTAAAATGGCTCTTGTTCAAACACCATGACCCAGGATAGCAATCAACTGAAACACAAGCACAGTCCACTCAAGGGACTGGGCACCACCCCATACAGGGAGATTCAAGGCCCCGATCTCCAAGGAAACATTCCAACACTAACCGCCTTGACCAAAGGTGCCTCCTCATAGCTGCCAGGGAAGTTCCTAGAAAACTAGCTTCGCGCATCACACTCCTCTATGGTTCAGTAAGAGTCACAGTGCAGAGCCACACAAGATGCTGATCTCACATGACACCATTACCTGGATGCACAGGTGACACCACAAATGGCACCTAGTACCACTAGCAACTTGGAGGAGTAAAACGCCCCACTCACAAAGACAAGGACAGAAGCGAAGATAACATGTGACCCTTTTCCAATTTTCTAAGCAGTCCCTGGGCATACACCTGACAAGCTGGCACCTACTGTCTGGGGCGACCCACAGACCTCCAGGAAAAAAACTAAGCCAGCAGAAGAAAATGTAAGACACCAGTGCAAAATAAAAATCTGACTAGGTGGCTGAACATGCTTTGATATTAAAATCCCCAGGCCTTAATAGGGCAAAGGGTCAAAGGGTATGTCTGACTGAACAGTGAGAAGTAGCCGTGGCCAGTTCACCTACTACCTTCAGCCAAAGAACCTCCTCTGGGAGCCAAAACACAAAACAAAACAAAACAAAACAAAACAAGGAACCAGTGGATGCAACTGCTGAGAAATAGAGACTCCAACTACAAAACTTTCACCCACTACAGTAACATACACCAGTGCCCAGTACCCAGCGCTGGCAGACAGCAACTGGCAGCCACATCAGTGCCAAGAAATGTCACTAGAAAGCAAATGATTGTACTTGAGCAAACAGAAACAGTACATCCTATTTAACAACATGCCTACTTGACCCATACGTGACCTTCCTTCTTGGACCAGGCCATAAGATGCTACGGAGAATTTACTTCATGAGCCCAACATGCTGGGCAAGTGCACTCGAAACTGGAGTTTCCAAATGCAGAATCTGCCTCATCATGTGCAATTGGCCACCAACATCTCAGGGTACTTAAAACTACTCACATCAGATTTTGATACCCACCAGTCCTGGACTCTGATCAGCAGAACAGAAAATAACCTCTTTGTTCTTAGGAACTGAGCCAGACCTTCAGGGAATAATTCTGAAGCACAACCCAGGCCCGCACAAATCCATGTCATGAGTGAGTTAGCTGAGCCAAGGTCACTTACGCCATCTCTTTTGACTATAATACTGGGGGGCCAACACAGCAAAAAGACCAGACATTCAAACAAGAAATAACACTCATGGACCACACTATAGAAGTAGAACCATGGAGCCTCACAAGAACTCACTCAAAGCTAATGTGCAGGGTGGAGCATGCAAGAGTGTGACCAAAGAAGAGCTGCTGTCCCTGTCCTGCCTGCCCTGAGCCTCCACGTGCTGGACCTCAGATCCGATGAGAACGACGGTTGGAGTTCTCACTCATTTTGTTCAGATTTCCAAGGAATGCATTTTGAGGGAGTCATCATCGATCCAAGCACACTCTGGAGTGTTAAAAATTTAGCATGGCTGGCCAGGTGGCTCACTGTGTGAATGTGACTTAGACTGTCCTGCAGCGGCCTACAGGATCCACGTCCCAGCCACTAAGCAAAAGGGACACGCAGTTCACTCTTGCAGGGGCACTGCACATGCTATGCAAGGCACTCAAGGAAGCCACCTTGAGCAGCTGTAAGAAATATGAAGGCTAAAGTCTGAACTTGGAACAGAGGAACACTTACCTTCCTGAATGGTGCCCAGGGCTGGTAATCACTCAGAGCCATGCCTCCTGTGGGACTCTTTGGGACCTAGGTCACCCAGGAACAAACAATCTTTTCTTGATCATGAAGAACCTTGCACTGCAGCTGCCACCTGAAAAGTGCAAAAGAACACACGGATTTGCATAATGTGCCTAGGTCCATTTTATTTCACCCTCTCCCCCCACAGTGGGCCTTGCAACTGACTCTCACTTCATCTGTCCCTGATGAACACTTGAATGCTTGCGTCATGCCAGGTATGTAAGTTGGTTGATAAATGTGTTGCTTGGAGTCATGGGCAGAGGCTGCCTCAGCTGAACAAGTCATAGCACTCATCGAAGGCCACAAGCCCTCCTTGCCATCAAAGGAAGGCCATTTCACTAACATACGTAAAAAATGCAACTTTTTGAGCTGAAAGGGTTCCTAAAATGTGCCAAGGACCCCTTCTGCATGGTTCCAATGGGCACAGTCCTAATGGGCTGTTTACAGCAGCCTGTATATACTTTAGAACTAGGTTATGTGCTAGCTGACAAGATAAGGACTGGCCACTCTCCCCAAATCCATCAACAACAAATTCTTAACTAGCCCAGTGAAAATCTCATCACTAAGTTAGAAGAATCCCTGATGTTGAGACCCTGGGTGGACCGTGCATGAGTGTGAGTGTGACCAAGGGCAACTGTCCCTCACTCCTGCCTGCCCTGGGCTTCCACGTGCTGGACCTCAGATCCGATGAGAACGACGGTTGGAGTTCTCACTCATTTTGTTCAGCTTTTCCAAGGAATGCATTTTGAGGGAGTCATCATTGATCCGAGCACGTTTGGTCAAACTGCGTCATTTAGCAGGTTTTCTGAGTGGCTCATTGGGAGAGGCAACAACCTCATAATCTTCCAACAAACTGAAGCACCCAGATCCCAGCCACTGAGCCAGGGCACAGTCCACCCGCTCTTAGAGGGAGACCTCAAGTGCCATTCAGGACAAACAAGCCACGTCAAGCAGCTGTAAAAACTCCAGAACCTAATGGCTGCACTCAGACCAGAAGAAAGCTTACCATCCCAAGTGACGCCCAGGCACGATGTGCAAACACCCCCAGGAGCCTGAGTCATCCAGAGCGAGAGCGGTCTCCTCCTCTTGGCTGATGAAGAACCACTCGTGGCAGCTCCACCTGACAAGTAAACAGAAAACACATTCCCGTCTCAAAACCACAGCAGTTCCAATCCATGTCATCTTCCACCCTCAGCAGGCGTTGCGTGGACTGTCACATACTTCTGTCCCTGCCGTGAGACAGGGCTTCTGCAGTACTGTGCAAGGAGGTTGATCTGTACAAATGCTGCATTTACGCACAGACAGAGGCCTCTGCGTCTGCAACTGCTGCTGCCCCGTGTCCGGATCACTAGCTGCACCCCCTGCCTGCCCTCAAAGGAAGATCTGTTTCTTAGAAAAACTACACAAAACTGCGAAATGGACCTTCAGGGATTCCTAAAATGCACCAAGGACTCCCTGTCCAGTATCTTACTTTTTTGGAACCACAGTGCTCACCAATCCTTCACAGTGCTCAATTGATGGTGCAGGGGAAGCCAACCCAGCACACGTTCATGAGTGACCTGCACTTCATGGAACACAGCAAGGGAAGAGAAAATGAACTACTGACGACACACCTGGTATCGGGTGCCCCTTGTCTCACAGGCCTGAGTTCAAAGACAAGGGTCAAGTGACTTCAGGACAGGGCCAGGTTCGAGCACAATGGGCCAAAGGCCTCCATGGGACAAACTGAATCCAGAAGGGTATTGGTGGTTTTCACCTGTTGGGACTCACGGGGGTGGGGTGGGGTGGGGTGGGGGCGCGCACACACAATTGGACTAGGCCACATTTGCACCCAGAAATGAGACATTTCCCGTCCAGAGGAAATCAGGGCTCTGACACTGAACCCTGAGGTGTCCAGGTGGCTATCGTGGTGTCATAAAACTACCACCAAACCAACCCTGCTGCCATGACCCGTGGATAAAAAAGTAAATGCACAAAAAAACGTTGTCATGGTCAGGCATGCTGATCACTGCCTGTAGGCTTGGTAACCACAGTGTCCACACTCGAGGCCCTGAGATGTCCCTACAAGCTGAAGATGTCACAGGAGCACATAGAGACAGCACATCCTGGGGACCATTCTACCACCTGTCCTCTCCAAACCTGCCATTCCCATCTGGACCAGCAGTCACCACACGACCTTGACTCCACCCACAGGGGCTCAGCTGAGTCCCTGGTTGGCTAACTAGTATGTAGACTGAGTGACAAGCTGCATGGGAGAACCTGTGAACTGCAGCATCAGGGCCTCGATGGTGCTATGGCCCTGCTCCCAACCCCATGGTGGCTGAACGTCCTCAACTAGACAACTGGCAGAACAGACGCATCAATGACTCTGGCAGGAGCTCTCATGAGAAATCCTGTAAATTATAGCTCTTGCACTCCACTCAGAGACCCCCAAGGGCTGTATCTGAAGGAAGCCCTTGCCCAGGACACACCCAGGCCATGGTCCCTACAGTCCTGTGCCACAGCCAAACTACAACACTGTCAGGACGAGAGTATGAGCTAGTTCACAAAATACAAGCCTAGATATACACCATTGATTATAAACACCCAATTAAGATTTAAAATTCCTTAGTCGGTAGGAGGCTCCCTAATGCTGATGCCTTGGATGGCACGTGCATGAGAGTGACCAAGGGGCAGCTGTCCCTCTGTCCTGCCTGCCCCGGGCCCCCCATGTGCTGGACCTCAGATCTGATGAGTACGACTGTTGGCTTTCTCACTCATTTTGTTCAACTTTCCAAGGAATGCATTTGAGGAAGTCATCATAGACCCAAGCATGTTATGATGCACTGGTTAATTTAGCAAGGCCAGCTGGGCAGTTCAGTGAGTGAGTCAATGACCTCAATCTCCTCCAGTGGCCTGCGGGTTCCACATCCCATCCACTGAGGAAGAGGAACACGCAGTCACTCTTGGAGGGGGACCCCATGTGCCACTGAGGACAACCAAACAAGCCACCTCTAGAAAGTTTGGTAAGTAATTGCTGAATTGAGAGTAGAGGAACACTTACCTTCCTCAACGGTCCGCAGGGCCAGCGCTCACTCAGGGCAACACCTCTTCTGGGAATCCCTGGGACCTCAGTCTTGCAGGGAGAGGTAGGTCTTCGAGTCTGGGCCAACGAAGAGCCTTGCGCTGCAGCTCCACCTGAGAAGTGCACAGAAACATATATGTGTTTGAGCAGTGCACCCAAGTCCTTGGACAATTAATCCATCACATCCTCTCCTTGTATGTTGCCTACTTCTGTCCCTGATATATGACAGAGGGCTTGTGTGATGCCATGTGTGTGGGTCAGTGTGCAAATATGCTGCATGTGTTCACGGGCAGAGGCCTCCTCCTCTGAATCAGTGAGCCTTGGGCACTGACCACTAGTCGCAATCCCTGCCTGCCGTCGAAGGAAGACCCATTCCTTCAACAAACGTAAGGTAACTTTTTGACCCACAGGGGCTCCAAACATGTGCCAGCACCCCCTCTACCATATCCACTCCTTCTGTGCTGAAGGCTACACCTCTCCTCACAGCACTCTGATGATGGTGTGGGGAAAGCCACCCTGAACACTGGGTCCCAGAGCATGCTCACATGTGATCTGTACTTGATGTGAACACAGTGACTGAAGAGAAAATGACCACTGACAGCGTACCTGGTGTGGGGAGTACACCAATGACTAAGGCCCAAGTACAGAGAGAGGGATCAAATGACTTCAGCCAAGGGTTTGTGGACAATAAGCTAAAAGCCCTCCATGGACCAACGTGAGCCGAGAGAAACATTGGGGTCTTCACCTGCCAGGACTCAGGAGGCTGGCACAATGGAAACCAGGCCATGTTTGCACCGAGACCACCATTCCCACAGAGAGGAATTCAGGGCTCTGACATTTGGAAAACAATCAAATATTAAGGATTTCCTGTTGAAGGCAGCCTTCTCACAGCTGTATGGCAAGTCCCCCGAAAGTGGGCCACCCTGGCCAGCTGTGACCAGCAGGGAGCAGTGTGGTAAAGATTTCAACATTGCATATGGCGGCCCCATGAGATTCAAGGTTATGACGTCTCTCTACAGTAGCTCTGCCCTTGACCTCACAGTGCTCCAATGCACCATTCGAGAAGACAGGAGGAAGAAATCGCAATGCATGATGTTTCCCAAGGCAGAAACCTGTTCACAACTATGTGCTGGAGATCCTGGCTCTCACCAGCTAGCATCAAATTATCAATCTCAATCCCTCTGCAGGACACGGCACCCACCTGAGCCAAGTGAAAACCACCCTCCTGACCAGCACTTTGATCTGACTAACCACCTACCAGGGTGAAAGAGGACAAGAGTTCTGGCTAGCGACTCCAATCGGATATGGGCGTTGGGGGCACTGGAACACACCAAAAATACTAGAGATAAACTCACAGATGCCACTTTTATGGCACTGAATCAGTAAGGGAACCAAAGTCAGGACAATATCATAGGCAAGAACAACGCAGCTTTTTCTGAGTGCCACCAACACCCATGCAGTCCACCCCATCACAACCCTGAGAGGTTCCTATGAGCTGATGATGGATGATGCCAGTAGAAACAATAAGAGAGTACCACCCATGGAAGCCCTGGAACCACAGGGTGACCAGTCCTCTCCAGGCTATCAGTCACCACTCTGTCTTCACTTCAGACCTAGGTCCACAGCACAGTCTCTGGGTATCCATGTTGGGAGAGCAGCTGAATTTGAGGAGCTGTCAACTGCATGCTGGGGCCTATGAGCTCCCTGTCCCTGCCCACATTCCCAACCTAGTGACAATTTCTGCACTGAGACAAAAGTCAAGAACAGGTTCCCAAAACTGCCAGCCCTAGGACTCTAATCAGAAGTCACAGAAGCTTTGTCTCTTTGCCTCCTCACTCAAAGATCCAAGACCTGTGTGTCCACCAAGAACGTGGTCAGAATGCTCCCAGGCCATGGACTCAATGCCACAGCCACGGCGTACCCACACACCTATGTTGCAACTAAAATGTGTGCTACTTAAGAAAACAGAATGACTGCCCACTCACCCATATACCATCCATATTAAAACACCTAATAATGCAGTGAAAATACAGACAGTAAGTGAGGAGGCTCCTGGGTGGAGTGTGCATGAGTGTGAGTGGGGGGCACCTGTCCCCCTGTCCTCAGGGGGGCGTCTGCCCTGGCCCTCCACGTGCTGGACCTCAGATCCGATGAGAACGACGGCTGGAGTTCTCACTCATTTTGTTCAGCTTTTCCAAGGAATGCATTTTGAGGAACTCCTCATGGATCCGAGCACGTTCTAGGATCCAGGACGTTGTTAGCAAGTCTGGCAGGGTGGCTCACTTAGTTAGATCTTGACCTCAGCGTCCTACACTGGGCTGAAGCATGCAGATCCCAGCCACTGACAAAGAGGGACAATCAGTCCACTCTTTAGCAAAAACCACGTGCCACTGGGTGACATATGGACAGGCAGCCACAGTTAGGTCTGTGAAATCCTATTGCAAGTAGGAGAAACTAAGTCAGAGGCAATCTTACCTTCTGAAGGGATCCACATGCATGGTGCACACCTGGGGCCACACTCCCTCCAGGACTCCCGAGCACCTCTGGCCATCAAAGGAAAATAGGTCGTCTCTTCCTGGCTGGCGGTGAGCTTGCACGGCCACCCCACCTGAGAAGTATAGAGAAATCACATGCACATTTGAGAAATGTACTCAGCAACTAACACACTGAACATACAGACAATAATTCAAACAACTTTATAAGCTGAGGCCCTGGGTGGAACGTGCATGAGAATAACAAAGTGGCAGATGTCCCCCCCCGTCTCTTGCCTGCCCTGGCCCTCCATGTGCTGGACCTCAGATCCGATGAGAACGACGGTTGGAGTTCTCACTCATTTTGTTCAGCTTTTCCAAGGAATGCATTTTGAGGGACTCATCATCGATCCGAGCATGCTCTGGGATGAAGGCCATGTTTTACCAAGGCTGGCTGAGTGGCTCACCTAGTGAGCCAGTGACCTCAGTATCCCACACCTGCCTGGAGCACCCAGATCCCAGCCACTGAGTGGGAGGGACAGTCCATACACTTAGAGAGCAAAACTCCACAATGTTGAAAACACGTGGACAGGCTACCACAGGTAGGTGTATGAAATCCTAATGCAGGTCAGAAAAGAGAGGTTAAAGAAATGCTTACCTTCCTGACCAGTCTGCAGGCACGGTGTGCCCAGGGTCATACTCTCGGGATTCCCACACCGCTTCGGCCATCGAAGGAAAGCAGGTCGTCTCTTCAGGGCTGATGGCGAACCTTGCACATCCACCCCAGCTGGAAAAGTGTAGAGAAATCATATGAACATATGAGAAACTCTCCTAGACTGTCAGGTTAACATGACCATTACACCGACCTTTCCCCCAGGTAAGCCTCGCACCTGTCTGTCATGCACCTCTGCCCCTTAGCAGTGACCATAGGTATGACACCATGAGGCAGGTAGTTATACAGGTGTGTGTGTGTGTGCGCGTTCCTAACCTGGGACAGATTTCCAGCCTCACACCTGCTTCTGAACAACAAGACATGAGTCCTTTAAAGATAGGATCTAACTCTGACCTCAAGAGACTAGAAGTTGTTTGTATATGGGCTCCTCTGCAGCTGCTCCTCATCCGCAAATCACAGCCATTTTGGCACAGCCCCTCCTGACGGTGAGTTTGAAGTCACCCTACACATTGTCTCCCTGCAGCCTCTGCATGTGTACTTCTCCAATAGAAACCCGACCACAGAAACAATGAACCAGCACAGTAAAGGCTGGCAAGTTAGGAGGAACAGGGCCCAAGTTACCCTTGTGAATCTTAAATGACTTCTGGCCAGGCACCTGTTCCTCCTAACTCACTCAAACTCCCTCAGCAGAACAAAAGGAAACTGGAGGAGCATCTGGGGTCTTTACTCACCATGACCCTGAAACACAGAAGGGAGTTGTCACCGGTCCGCACAGATTCCGTGATGCAGGGAAATTCAGGACAGCAGGCTCAGCAGGTCTCCTTGGAACTCAGTGACACCCCAGTTCTCCAGAAGCCTGAGAATCTAGATCCCAGCCAGTGAACAAGTGGAACGGTCCGTCCGCTGTTGGAGTGAAGCTGTCACATACCACTGGAGACACACCTATAGTCTTTCTAGCAGGACTATGAAGACTTCAAGTGAATGGCAGAAACCGGGGCCAAGGGATGCTTACTTGGTGAGCAACGGAAGGGCATGGTGCACACCCAGGACCATATTTATTTTCCAGAATGTCCAAACAGCTGCAGTCATTAAATAACAGAAAAGTCTTCTTTTGTTGGCCAACAGAAAGCCTTGCTTGTCATGTCCACCAGCCGTTCAGTTTGGAGAAATCATGCATGCATGAGAAAGTTACTTCAGGGCAGGCTCTGTTACAGTCAGTCATGGACAATCCCTCCCTTGCGCCAGTTATTTTACGAAGTTCAGGTCCCAAAGAAAACTGTGACGGGAACAGGGCAAGTTCCCATTCAGACATCTTGGCGTCTGTCCAACCTCTGGGCTACATTACACTGACTTCTAACAAAGTTCAATTACACCTCGTCAAAGTAACATCTTCTTGACTGGAACCAGAAGCTTCATGAAATACAGTCAAATATGTGAACAGTCTTTTGAAGTATCTTCAAGGAACACAGTCTTACACGTTTTAATTTTTTATCAATTGCAACATGGGATTCAACATATTCCCATTCCTTATCATGTTTATATTACAAAGGATAAATGAACAGACACAGTTCATCATGAAAACAGTAAGAATGTAAAGAGTAAATATCTCAATCACAAGTAGTTAACAAAAAAGTAAGTTTACTTTATCAGTATTTACATATGATGTGTCTTATGGACACTTGTTTATTAACACAAAATACAACCTGCTGACATATACACAAAATATTTCAAATTACTGTCTCTTATAAGGACTTATTTTCGTAATATATGATGAATGATGAACTTTCAACAAGAACAACCCAATTAAAAAACTTTTCATCATAGCCAAGCAACCCTCAACAAGATCAACAAGTTATTTCTCAGCAAAAAAGAAAAACCAGAATGCAAAAGGACAACATACCAGAAGTTCTGAAACAAAATGCAGTTCAACCAGGAGTAATTCTTTATTTGACAGAAATTCCCTGTAAAGATGGACATGAAATTAAGACAGTCTCAGATTAACAAACCTGAGAATGATGTTTGAAAGCAGACTTGCACAACAACAAAGGTGAGAGAGAAGAATCTCTGAAGCTGTAAAAAGTGAAAGAAATGTACACCCGAAGAGAAAAGAAATGGTGGAACCTACCTCAGAAAAACTTTAAAAAATGGTCTTTAATGTCAAAATAAGTGTAAGAATAAAATACCTAAAGACTAAAATGATGTTTTTTTAGATTGTGCTGAATCTATACACAGACCTGAGGTAACTGACAATTTCACAACTTCAGACCTTTGATCCATGAACATGGTATACGACTGCATTTACTTAGGTCTTTGATAACTTACGTCAGTGTTTTGCAGTTTTCACCAGAGAGAGTACATGTTTTATTAGATTTACACTGAAGGAACTCATTTTTGTGCTCATATGAATGGTATTGTTCTAAAGTCAAATTGATACCTGCTAGAACACAGTAATATGGTTGATTTTTACATATTGACCCTGTATCTTCTAAACTTGCTAAACCAAGCTTGTAGGTCTAGGATTGTTTATTATAAATTTTGGGGAATTTGTAACATAGTCTGTGAGGGAAACACTTTTTGCAAAAACAATGTTGTGTCTTCCTTTCTCATCTTTATGCTTTTTATTTCTTTTTCTTGCACTATTGCATGGGTTATGCTTTGCATAACAATTTAAATAAAAGTTAGACAGGACTTTGTTGTTTTGTTTGTAAACTTGGAAGAAACTATGTTTAAAAGTACACTGGGTTATGAGCTTTTAATTCTTACCATGTACACTATAGATATTGTATGGCAGCATACTTCTATACATTGAGACATAAGCCACCCAACAGAAATCTTCATTTTTTTGCTAACACAGGCAAATATGCAAATATGCAAATACACATTTGTATGGTCACTTTTCATTAGATAAAAATATGTTCTAATGTTCCTGTCCTTCATATTCTCTGTCAAGTATGTTTTAAACATTAAACTTACTGGGATGACATTGGGTCATAAGATTATATAAGTTTCAATTGTACATTTCTATGACTCTTTAAAATTAAATCGGCCATTTTAAATGGTGGATATTCTAGAGTCCCTTTCAGCATCTCCTTTCCTCACTGATGTTACAGTTAGTCTTCATGGCTATTTTATTACCATTTGAGCTAATCTCAATGGCCTTGCCATGTCCTAGAGCAACAGATTGCAGAGATTTTAATTAATTAATGAATTAAGTGACTGAATTGAGTAAAACACTACTTGAAGGAAGTCTGGGACCAGAACTCTGTCAAGAGAAAAACTGAATTCATCTATTCCTAAAATGTTAAACACCAATCCGCAGGTGACAAGACCTTCTACATAAGGTTGGCAAAGAATATACACCACTGTTCTTGTTGATGGATGTTTCCATTTTAACAACAATTAATGACTTCATACATGAAATTCATTCCCTCTCCATTTAATAGGTTTGTGAGGCCAACACAATATAAATGTTGAACAGTGTTATTTTTCAGAAAAAAAATTAAATATTTTCTCATTCTTCATCATTTAAAATCTTCATAACCTTAGAATGATCTCATAATTTAACATACAATTTTCCACACCCAAAGAGCTAATTAAATGCAAATCTTAAGGATGCAAAAAGAAGCAATGATCTATAATGATGTAATGGATCTGATCAAGAGGATCCAAATATGATGCCCTGAAATATGGGTCAACATTCTGACACCATTGTAATTCATTGCAGGGGTGTCCAGTCCATGGTCCCAAGGGCTGCGTTTGGCCAAGGGTGACTATGAATGTGGTCTAACACAGAATTGTAAATTTACTCATAACCTCTTTTTTGTTCATCAGTTTTCATTAGTGTTTGTTTTACATTTCTCTCAAGACGACTCTTCTTTTTCGAACGTAGACCAGAGATGCCCAGAGGAAATGTAGCTTATTCTTGCTAAAGCATATCACAGTGAAATATGGAATTGTAAAAAAAAAAAACCCCAATTTTTCAAAGCTGTACATATGTCTGTCTACCCCAAACGCATACACAATTCAGAAATGAGGATGAAGACACTCACCATGCAAGTGACCCACTGATGAAGACACATCTCCTCCAGGAAATGACGACAGGAACACAGAGCCCTCGGGAGGCTGCATGGAGCCCAAGGCAGACATCGACGTCAAAGGGTCTTGGTGTAGCTCCTCACCTCTGCTTTCTCAAGTGGGGGACCTTGCTCAGCCCTTCCGTCTCAGAAAAAATGAGAGAACAGAAGCAAAGATATAAGGTCAGAATACAGTCCACAGGAGAAATAACACAGCACAAAGATTGGTTCCACTGTCTATACATAACATAGGCTTGCTGGGTTCCACTCCCTATAGCCAGCCCAACATGAACTGAGACTTTTGGCATCCATCACAATCCCCTGTCTCCTTCCTCATTCAGTATTTCCACACACTCACTGATGATTCCATAATGTGTTTCCTGTATACATGTATCTTCTACAACTCTCTGTGCAGAGGAAGTGGCCTTAAGCAACTCCTGGGTCACTGCACACACCTGGGGACGCACATGGCCTCACTACCTGGGACACTACAGGTGACGCTGCCAAGGAGAGGTCACCAGAGCCAGTCTCTCCCTGGTCCTGGCTGAGGGCCACTCATCTGGATGTCAGACTAACATCTGGAACGAGTCCCTCAGCATCCTCAGACAACTGTGCGCATCCTTAATCTAGAGACAGGAACCTGCCACCACACACGCACAGCCACAGCCAGGATCCTGGGGTGCAGGCTGACTGGCTACTGCCTTCTGAAGGACCAGTGGACATTCTAAGTGCCGACTTCAAAAAGAGAACTTTCTTTAATAAAAGAAAGAATCAATAGTGGGGATTCTTTTAACCAAGCAAGCATATGTGCACTGCTGGGGGGGAAGAATCTACCACAAAATACTCTCCACTGAGCCTTGAAAGACCAAGCCTGAAGTTTCAACTACCAACATCACTGGCTACAACACACACAAGCCATTTTAAAAGCACCCAACAGTTGCTTACCTCTTTCCTGGAGTACGGGAGTGGGTCTAGCCTTTGACCTGCAGCAAAACAGCAAGGAATGTAAATCAGATGAGAA